AAGCGGGATTTATTCTCTGTTGATCCGGACTTCATTTAAGTAGTTTTTCCTTTCGCATCGTAATTGAAGTTACGCAATAATTGAAAAAAATATTTTGACAGTACGTCATCAGAACTTCCTATATTTACAAAGGGAAGTGGTCTCATCCAATCGCCTCCAGGTAGCCTTTATCAGCCGTGTAAGGGTTTTTAACACCTGCTTGCACTTTACAAACTAAGCTGAGAAGGAGTAAGAAATTGGAGATACTACATTATTTGAAAATGTCGCACGCTTTCCTCCATGATGATTTGGCGACCCACTCTCTTCTTGTGGAAAGAAAACAATACGCAGAAACATCTAGTACATATAGCAACAATTCACACACACACACACACTGACACACATTTCAAATTTAAATTTCCACTTCACCCATCCACTCAAAAGTTGAGAAAAATAACATTCAAGGTTTGACTGGAAAATGCATTACACCGCATATCCAATCTGCCGTTGATACGTGGTTTTCTGAATGGTTAAGAAAATTTACGTGAAAGAGCAGGAACATAAGACAACGAAAAATTAAATCCAAACAATTCTAAGTGTTTTAGTTGAAAACGAGAAGGAGTTGCACAAGGCTACGAAATATTTTTCATCATCATTTTCTGTCCTGTCTTCTGTCCTATCTTCTGCTCTGCATAGTGAACTGTCGTGTTTCTAGCTTGCTTCTTTCCATTTTATTTTTTGGCATGGAGGTGATTAGGCGAGAATGTTTTTCACCGTAGGACTCTTATCATGACGTAGCTTACTCGCTAAGGTACATAATCAGGAAATCTAAACCAAAAGTTGAACGACGGAAATTTCTAAGTGACATTATTTTCAACAAAAGTCAATTATTGAAGTTGCTATTAATTCAACAACCTCCTGTTTACATTCAGATGGACCAACCATATATCACCGAATAAATATACGTAAGTGAATATTATCTTCCTGTAAACCGCTGCTACTTTACAGTTGGTTGAAAATAACTGGAAGGAAAGATTGTGAATTTGGTAGCTCTCCTCTGGAAGGACTGATTTGGGGCCGCGGTGTCACAAGGAGGCGCATAGAATAGACCCAAAGAAGAATTTGAAGCACTAGGCGTCTTCATTTTAGAGACGACAAACTAAAAATGATTGAAATATTACAGATGGGTCGTACTTTGCTTACAGAAGCAGGTATCAACTTCTTGTACAAAATGTGATCAGCCCATGATATTCCCAAACAGTACTATATTCCTTATACGTAATTTTCGGTGAAAAATTGATTTAAAATCTGCCCTGCTTATTGGCTCTTTGTAACGTATAAAGCTGTAGATACGAATCAATCGCCATGACAGCTTTTGGTTGGAGGACTGGCTAACTAACCAACAAAGTAAACTGCACCTTTAATTTTCCACTTGTTTGATGGTTTGGCCGAAGTTTAACTGGCAGTCTTAACTTTACGACTAAACTGGTGACTACTAACTGATCACTAGGTTGTTGCCTGTTCTTTTAAAGTAACCAGGGAAGAGCTGACAGGAGATTGACAGTCGTTCATCAAACTGTCACCTATTCTTAAGTTATAAAGTTGTAGGCTGCAGCCAAACTGCGCTTGTAGCATACATATATGGACTTTCGAAAAGTAAACATCGTCAATATCACTTTAAATTTCCACAGCCGTTCGTCGATCGTTTGACCAAAATAAACCAACGTGAGGAATAAAAAAATACCAGATACAATTTGAACAAAAGATACATAACTTTAGCAATAGTATACGTTTACAAAAATACAGTTCAAAGGTGACTGCGTATTAACAATCGACAGTAAGAGTAAACAGTTTATTTTCGATGAAGAAGGCGTAGCAATAATAACGCCTAATTAACTAAGAGCAGTTAGTATTCATGTCACACGATCAGAATAACAACTACAAGTTTTTAAATAACGGCCACGATAAAGCATCGTCAGCTTTAAAAACATTGGTTTGATTGGCATTGCTTCTGTACGAGTACAAAAACACATTGATCAAGTTACTCAATCAGTTACTCTAGAATTTCCAGGAAGAAGAAGCGAAAGACTTTTATAAGGTCAAAAGGGTCGAGACTGAAAATAATTATTTAGCTTCTAAATTTATGTACCTTTGAAAATGGGTAAATCGTATTCTAAAAACAAATCGATACTAGCCTACAAATCAAGTTGGACGTATCCGTTTGCACTAAAAAACCATATCAGAAACTGATTTATAAATCACTGCAGTTAAATAAGTTATCCCGAGTACATATGCTTAAAAGTGAATCCAAAATTCAAAGTACCTCCTTTAATCTTATGCCTGTACATTTTCACTCAAAAATAAACGTAAGAAATAATTCAACTACCTGTAGTATAGCTCCCGGTGTTGTGGCCTGGCCTTCTTTTTGTTTATGCTTGCTCGGCCCCCAGGAGAAGTTGAAAATAATCAGATTAACTATCTCAAATTCAACCTGTCTCCAAACACTTTCTGTCCTCTTTTCAGACACATGTGAGCCACTGGTGATTTATTAGCGGGAGAGGCACCTTGGATAACATCATGGCGAAAATACTCATCATCGCCTCTCTGAGCCTTACCATCTGTGTCTCCAACGCACAAGATACAGCCTCACCATCTGAAGGTAGCTCACATTTTAGAAGATAAATTTCGCACTCAAATTCTAAAGTACCATCTACCACTGTTTAAATTCACCAAATACTGTTACTACTGTTAGCTATCGTGATGCACAATTTAATGATTCCAGATACGATGCGGCTAAATTAGAGAAACCAATTTACACTAATTTCAAGTGGTCAGCGGTTGTCACGAGTGATATTGACCATTAAATATGTTCTCTAATTCAGTGCGATTCTGCGGATAAATCCCTTGATTACTCTCGAGTAGTGTTCCACGCTGAAGCTGCTTCAATTCCTTATGCGTGTGGAACATGTCCATGACAATATTGAAAGTTACTTTCCTGAATTTTAAAAAGCCTGAGCCCTTTCAAGGCGCTTTTAAAACGATTCTTAGTTAATTACTATATAATTGTAGCTCGACCCTCATGTGAGCTAAAGTTCTTGGATTGAATTAGACTTCATCAGTTTCAGAGAGAGACTTCTCAGAACCAGAGATTTTGGTTATGTCACGTTAAAATTTACTTGATCTTCCCATAAAGCTCTTTTAACATTTAAAAATATTATTTTGATGCCCGTTCTTTAGACTCTGTTGGCGAGGACTGATCGCCCTCCGTTTCCCCTGTAACCATATGAAATTTCTCCGCCTTCCCCCCCCCCCCTTCCCTTAGGTGATAAATAAATACTGGTCCCTAAAGGCCTGGCACAAGAATGAATACTCTTGAGCTCAGTGTTACATTTCCAAACCACTCTAGTAAAACAGTGTTTTAAGTGGTTCTTTATTGAATTTTCTCCTCTAAAAGAGGAGTCGAAGTACCCTCTCTTATTGTCAATTCAAAAATGGCAAACTTACTGAGGTGTTTTTTTCTCGATTTGTTTTCCAGTTGCTTGTAACCTTCCTCTAGAACTAACATCAGTGTCCACGATATCCTATCACGATTTGACCACTATTCCCACTTATGCTAAGATAAATGGCACTGGCGGGTACAGAGCTAAAGAAACGGATGAGCTAAAAATCAAGTTTGTTTGGGTAACGTTCGACACAGAGACAGTAGTAACTGGAGTGGCCATGCAAGGGTTTGGTGATCCTGAGATAAAAGAGTGGGTTGAAAAGTATTACGTGAGTTTCATGCGTCAAAGCAGTTCGGAAAAGTTCTTCGTTGAAAGCAATGGGAGACCCAAGGTAATGGGCGTGATGGCAACACAAAATAAGCAGTGAAATTACTTAAGAAAGGAGTTGAGAGTTTTACTGTTATTTACTGAAAGGACACCTAATATCACGACTGAAAGGGAGATGGTTCTAATTTTAAAAGTGGATATATGTCCAATCTTACAATATTAATGAAAAAATACGAAGAACGTAGAGTTCTGAAGCCCTTATTTTCTAATCAATTGTCCTTTGGGAAAATAAAACTCCTTACAACCTAACATCAATGTGATTATTCTTCATACTGTTCCCCATACATTTCCTAGGGTGCTGACATGGAGAATTTGTTAAAAAAAAAAAAAAGGTTCTTTAGTTGGTGACCATTTCCTGTACTCTCATGACCTCAATGTTTGATTCAGGGGGGATATTGTAGGAAGAAGTTGGATGCTGATCAATTTAAAGGGTCAAAGGATTAAAGAAGAACTCGCATTGAAAAATTCAATATTCGCATTCGAAGATGCTAGTGAAATGGTGGAATATTTTTCCAATAAGCTCCAAAGAGGTTTCGTAAACAGCTGTGAAAACCTGTAAAAACGTTGCAAAGAGGATGCAAACATGTGAAAACCTCGCAAAGAGAATGTAAGCTAGCTCCCATTCACCTGCCTTAAAATTTTATTCTCCTGCAATGTTTGTCTTTTTACTTAAATATCTGATGTATTCTATTTGGCATTGTAGTTGTTTCAAGGAAACAATGACTCAAATACGATTGTGAGAAACAACTTTGCACCTGAAAACGTAGAGATCATCTATATCGAGCCACGTGCATACCACATCAATGTTGCCTTCAGATTTGAACTCTACGGATGCATAATGAGTAAGTGGAATGACGTTCTTACAACAGATACCTCACTCAAATTAACACGGCATGAAAAGTTAGAAAATATCAATCTCAAAAAATAAAAGATTAGTTAGAAACTAGGCAGGTAGTGACAATGCCACTTTTCTCGTCCCTTTATGTCAAATGTATGCACAGAACAGAATATTGTTTGGTTACTACTTCACCAACCTTCCCTTAGCGTTCATCGTCCTTTCTCCAAATTAAAAACAAAAAACAACACAACCCCAGCACAACCCCAAAAGCCTGTCCCAGGACAATCGCCAATGGCCCACTGTGGTTCAGCAAGCTTTTTTTCCTGTTGCTCATAAAGATTGTGTTTAATTATTTTTCTGTTAATTTTTCATCCACAGAGAGGTCTGTGGAGCTACACTTCCGGTGGAGAGATGAACATTGCACTTTGGAAATGCTCATAGACAAAAAATCCGACGGGTTTAAAGTCATCGAAACGAATCTAGAGAGCGAGGTATCACTTTTCAGTTAAGAAAAGATGCATGTATGTTATGGTAGGTTTTTTCAGCTGAAGTTGATGCTGCTGGTGATGATCATGATGAAGTTTCCGTTGTTTATATCCCTTATGTTTATTTGTGTTATTGTTGCTGTTTATTTTTTACTTACTAACGTTGATAAGTAAATTATTGAGTTAATTTCACTCCAGCCGTTAGAAAAGGCGTGTTTTCTATTCAGAATACAGACAACACGTGTCTGAAGGCCTGTATGGATAAATGAACAATTAGGCTGTTATATCGTGACTGCGAAATATTCATATTACCTTATTTATTTACTGGTAGATGCACCAGATAAGCCGTCTCCCAGGAGTGCAAGTGGTTAAGCTTGAGAGCCTCAGGTACAGTAACGTCTCTCAACCCAAACCATAGTAAATAATTAAATCTATAGCGATGTTTATCATGCTAAAACAATCATAAGCTAAACATACAGGGTAAGACTAAATATCTTAATAGAGCCATTGATATAGCTTCAGTGATACTGTTGATTATAAAGTAAATCTTTTCCAGCACTCAATACTAAGGACGAAACCTTGTGGATTGAGAACTTGCTAAATCACTTGAATGCAGTATGATTTGACGTGTGTATGCTGAACAAAATTGCAATAGTTTCCGAAAACATTGACGAAACCTTTGCATATGATCATTTAAATCAAATTTTTTTCCTTGTTTTAGACCTGGAAGCTTAATTGTTGGCATCAAAGTTGGTGTGCGAGATTCACAAGTTAAACAGATGATTGTGGGAGCAAAACAACTCTTAAAAAACTTTACCAAATTTGACTCTAGCTTCTTTGCTGTAAAGGACCCTAAAGGTACTATTTAATTCAATTTCCACAAGTAACGACTAATCATAGGCTTTTTTTATAATGATAATTTGATAGGACTGATAGCTCTACCACAGCAGACAGAAAAGCAAAAATAGAGAAATCATGGATCACTAGCAACACGCACTTATAGAAAATGGGTGGAATTGAGTGCATGATTTACCAATAGCATATTCAGTTGTGTGAAATGATTTAACGCTCAGAATTTGCTCGAACACTTGTGCAAACTTCGCGGAGCGCCTCAGGCATTTTAACTAATAGCTAGGATAGTTAAGTCTATCACAGTGCGCAGAAAAGCAAACCTACACTTTAAAAAAAAAACATGCATTTGAAAAACTATCTAAATCAGAGCTGTTAGTAAGAGCCGGTGGCAAAACCAAATGGCTTGCTCGTTAGCCAGCCACTTTGACCTCATTTTACCAAAGGTATTGATGAAAGGTCTTACAGCTAAAGTTTGTATGGCAACCGTTTTCCAGTTTTGGTTGGAGTTGCCTGCATGATTGATCAGTAAAATGTTTAGATTTGTGAAACGATTCAACGCTCAGAATTTATTAGAAGATTCGTACGAGCTTCGTGCAGCAGCGCCTAAAGAAAAATTTTCGGAATATTTCCCCGTCTTGTGTGTAGATTGACATAAAAACTTCACGTTCACAACAACCTGGCCACCTACCATTTCATATTTGCCTTCTACCATCAATTCTATTTACTACCCTGTCTAAAAGCGATCGGTATTCAGTTTCTCAATAATAAAATGGTAATTTATGTAAGTGATTAATCAATGGTTACCTTTTTTCATCGGGCAGGGTCGTCCTTCTGCACAATGCCAAACATTTCTCTATCAAACCTTTCTCATGACCATGACAATACTCTGAGGATCAATCGCTCAGCCTCCTACGTAGTAAGAGCAATTATCAATAGCGAAAGTCAACAAAAGGCTCTTGTTACTTGGAAAATTGCACAATTACAGAACTCTCGACGGAAAACAAATGTGGACAGGAAAAATGCTTTTAAATCCACAAGTATTTCCATGGAGGAAACTGTACTTGGAAATACAACTATTATACAGAAGGAAATATCAAAACACACCCTTCAGTATGGTGTATACTACATTGAGGTTCTGGTAAATGCTACTGGTTGTATGAACTACAATTATGGATTCTTGCGAGTCACTGAAACACCTCTACATGTGGCTGTGTCAACAGAACCTCCACTGGATAATATTCTTAAAGGATACCACAGGTATCTTGAATTTAATGCATCAAATTCTTTTGACCCTGATGTGCAAAAGAAAGAACAGAGTGGCTTAACGTTTACATGGCTTTGTGCAAGAAAAAATGAGACCTTTGGAAATACTGCAACACTCCCAGTTGTTGTTCCACATAACAGTGGAAACAGATTAAATGTAAAAGGGTGTTATGGAAGTGGACCCGGCAAACTGAATTTCACAGGCGCACATGCAAAGTTACTCTTAGACCAAATGGAGCCCAATAAAAGTTATATCATCCAGTTAATTGTGGAAAAAGATTCGAGAAAGGAGAATATCTCCTATGAATTTGAGTTAAAAAGTGGAAATAGCTTCCATCTAGAAATCAGGTAAGGAGGTTTTCCTAAGGTATAAGTCTTTCTCATTCTATTTTCTCGCTCTGTTACTGTCGCTTCTGGCCACTTTTTGAGAGGTTCATAAGCACACTTCTCGGCTAATACGTCACACATCTATAAGCCTTTGGGACTCTGCAAACAAAGGAGCTATCCAGGACAAACTGTTCTAAAAATACACTGAAAGTAATCTTCTGAAAATGTTTAGATTTCTGATTCAAAACTAATTGAGTCCAGGCCCCGATTGTTCGAAGGTTGGATAACACTATCCACTGGATAAAACTCCATCCGGTGGATAACGCAGAATATTTTTCTATCATTTATCCGCTGGATAGCGATTTATCCGTTGGATAGCGTTATCCGCCCTTTTTACAACTGGGCCCAGGTTTATAGTTTCTAGGATCATTGAATGTAGTTTTAGCTGTAGCCGTTAAAAATTTTAGAATGTAGTATAATTTTATAATTTTTATGGCATATACTTTATTTTTGTGAAACTTAAAATTTCTTTGATCAAAACACGACCATATCATGGTATATCTGAGTGGTTATGGTCATGTGATATTATCATCACTGTTATTATCATCACTGTTGTACTGTTTTGAACCTTCACCTATAGCGAGGCAGATTTTTTCCTTCAACTATGTACACATACACAATAAAAATACATTGTTCGTTGTAGCAGAATAATGTATTTATTGTAGACCGATCTAGCTCGATCGCGTCTGTCGAATTCCGCACACACAGAAATTGAAGGGTAAAAATTAAACAAAAATTATCCACGCCGTCAAAAAGAAAATTCCTCAATTTCCTAACCACCCAATGTCATGCATACAGCGCTCCATGATTATAACCCATAAGAAGAAAACATAGACTTACCTGAGCCATGGCATGTCGGCCATTTTGTTTTTTTCCGCCAGCCTTTGTGGCCCTCCTCAATCCTTTGCTCGTGTGAAATCCCTTAATTGTAACGCTTTTGTTCCTCTTGCAGATGCAAAAGAAATTGTAAACAAAAAGTCAATCCTGCAGAGAAAATATCTTTCGAAGGATTTTGCGACGGCGATTCCTGCAAGCAAAATAACACGTACTTTCGCTGGTCACTTTTCGTAAAAACTGACATTGGAGAATTTCAGCCAGTTATGATACAAAATAATGAAGACCGTTCGCTGCTGGAAATTGATATGCATATGTTAGAAGAAGGCAAAAAATATGAATTACAACTTCGAGGAAATCTTACTGAGAAAATTAGAAGTTCTGCGACTTATCCTTTCACAACAAACCAGTCCCCTCGAGGAGGAAACTGCACTGTTGATCGATTCACTGGTCAAGTTTTGGTGACAAATTTTACATTTTCCTGTTTCGGTTGGCTGGATGAGGACAAGGACTTGATTTATCAATTTGGGTACAAGTCGAGTAGCGGGGTGTATGAAATACTTCAGGAGAGCCCTTCGCCTTATTTAAAGACTAACAAGCTTCCTCTTGGCGACTCCGAAAAAGAAAATATGTTCTGGTTGGATATCTATGTCAAAGACCAATGGGGGGGATTTGGGTCCAAAACTGTAAAGGTTAAGGTGAGTTCAAATGTAACGCCAGGTGGTAATTTTACTATATTAGCCGCCATTACAAGAGCGTGACACGATGTTCCAGGCAAAATGTAACGCAATCTTAGCGCTTATAGAAACCATTTAGAAAATGAAATGTAGTTTAGATCGCAGGAATTTTCGTGATTGAGGCAATTTATTTAAGGCTTAATAAGATTGTTATTTGCTAATGACAACGTGCTCTTGTGCACGACCTCTAGATACATCTTACATGAACAATTATTTCAATTAAGATATCTCTATACACGTAATTTTTCCTTTCGAAGATTCTCTCGAGTCGGACAATAAATGCAACGACCCTGTATCGATACACCATGGGAAATAATAGCGAGATGGCTAAATTACTGGAAAGCGAAGATGGTGGCAAGGATGCCATGCGGCTGGCAAACACCTTACTGTCTGTGATGTCCGCAACTACCGACAAAGAAGTGAAAAAAGAGGACAAAATAAAGGTAGAAGTTACGTTACCTTAAATTGGCAGAAAGTGCCCCATCCAAAAGAAATGTTGCACTGGTAGTGATTCATCGCATCGATAACGAAATAAAGGCCACGGCTCAAACATTGATATGAATGAATTACTTATTCAAAAACCGTCTTAAGAAGCATGAAGGCTTAACCCCCCTCTGGCATTGATACTCGTACTCTACACGCTGTTCTTTTAACACTTCCTCTGTTACTGACAAGGATTATTTGCTACACAACAAGGAGCTCCTTAATTAGTTATCATTTTCAATATTTTCATTGCTTTAATGTTTGATTCAAAGCTGATAGGAGAAAGTAGATATTTGTCACTCTTAGGCGTCGAAGGGTTAACCTCGTTTTAGAAATCTTTGAATGGTTGTAAGAGCTCGAAACCATTTTATTGGTAGAGCTACAAAAGATAAGAGAAGGCAATTTAAAAATGACGAAAAGATAACAGCAACGTTTGACTGAAAAGCATATGCCAGAGCTCCTGTGTAAAATTGGCTTTTATTCATAGTAATGTGAAATGTCGCTTTTTAGTTCAAGGACGAAATGATCAAACATTCATCAAAAGTCAAAGTAAATGACCTGCAGGGAATTATTCTTGTGACTTCAGTTGTGGCCAGTGCGACTGACAAAAGTGAAGAACTCTCGGAAAAATCTCAGGTAGGTAAATTGCATTTATGTGTAAAGCACCAAAGAAAGATATTTTGAAAGTCTCGTATGGATAAAAGCCAAGATTTTTTTTTCACGATACAAAATCCGCCATTTGAAAGGATGCAGCCAAAAGTAATAGTAACCTCAAAACTTTAGTCTACAAACCAAAGCAGTCTCATTGACCACCATAGACTGAGCCTTTTCAAGGTCCCTGGTGAAGGATGTGATATTCTTTTTCATAAGTTTAGGAGTTATTAACTTTGTATTATTACACCACGAATGTCCTGAACGAAATTAGCATCTCATTGACCTTTTTTTTTCTTTTTTCTTTTTTTTTTTTCTTTTTTTTTACTGTAGTGGACTTCGGTGGATGTTTTGGAAAGAATGACAAACAAGTTTCAAAACATTACCGTTGAAGGAAGTGACAAAGATCCCACCGGCATCGAGAAGGCAGGAAACAATCTGTTGGTGGGGATTGGCAACGTGCTTGATGCAAATGCCGTGAAAGCTGACACAAACAACAAGAAAGACGAAACAAGCGAAGAAAGCAGCAAAGTTAACTTAACAAAGGTCACTAATTTTTACTCTCGTTTTATAATCACATTATCCGTCAATCAGTTTGCAGCTGCGACATTCCCCACCAGGCAATTCCCCTGAGAATTTGAACCTTTGAACGATTCTCTGTGTGATCAACAAATGTTGTAGAATTTAGCAAAGTCACGTAGTAGTTTTTGGTACCGTTGTTTGGTTTTTTTAGTATTATTCTACGATGTGAAAATTTCCCTCTAAGCCATTTCTCTTTACCTCTAAACTCCTCCATATTTGAAATTGAAACACGTGCATTCCGCCGTGGTTCAAACTACCCCCTCCCCCACCAAGGCAAGGTTCAAATTTCCCACACCAGGTACACGGACGGCGGCCAAATGCCCGCGGGTTGTCTATTGGGGATGTTAAAACTTCGAATTGATTAGTGCATTTGCGTGATTATTTGAGCAAACCTTCCATCTGTTTACTGGCGTAATAACCCACTTAAGATTTTGGTAGCACTTGAGAAAAGTTTGTAATCACGAGCCGGAGGCTATGGGCTTACTAGTGCAATAGATGACAGGTTTTTGACAAAACAGAGCGCTAGTAGTATCTCAGTCGTCAAGATAAATGATCGTAAATTCGCAAAATGTGGAATCTGCGTTTGACAAAAGAGGGACAAGAGAGTCAGGTTTCATTCAAGTTTCCTGACACCCTCAGCATTGTTGAGTGTTCACATTTTTCCCCTTATACAGATAAAAGTTCTTGCCGAAAAAGCCTTCATACTGATTACCAAAGTCGGAGACAGCATGTTATCATCAAGAGAAGTCGATGATGAACCCGTTGAAGTTGAGACCAAGGCGATATTCATGAGGTTAGAGAGACAGACTCCAGGATCAATCAGCGACAAACCCGCCAAGATAAAGGACAGCAAAGTGACATTCCCTCCGTCTGAGGAGCTATTGGGTCCCCAAGCACAGGAAACGAAATACGTGGACACACAGGTAAGAATTTACAATGGCAAAGGAGTAAGGTATACAGACGAAAAGATGAAGTCGCAGACAGACAAACAGAAACCTTTACTGGAATATAGGAAATTAACGCATGACTGACCGGCCCACTCCCCCACTCCCACCGCCAGGTCGGTTGCCCCACTTACCTAGCTGCCAACCTTTCTCACCAACTGAGCTACGAATTCACCATTCAACCAACTTACTGGGTGACTGACTGACAATGATTTTCACTGACAAGTTTTAACTTTCATTTTTTCCCAGATGCTCTCTTTAAAGCATAATCCCTTTTCGTGGGACAAAAGCGCCAAGCTTGTAAAGTCAGCTGTGATCAGCATAGACCTTAAGAACGATAAAGGAGAGGTTCTTGAAGTCTCGGAACTGTCTCAAGAAATCGAGCTTTACATCAAAACAGATAGACCACAGACACCGCAGGTTCCTTTGCACTCTTTTGTGAAACCAAGTGTTAATGGAAGTATGCGAAACCACAGAGTTGTCATTTCCGAAGAGGGAATGGTAGTAAGCGTCAAGGTGGTCCCATCAAACGGATCAAAACTACAAGTTTATTTTCGCTATCTTCGCCGACCGACAATATCAAACTACGATTTCATGGCTGAGGTCCCAGATTTCACCTCATGTAAAAGGCATGCCAAAGGATTTAGGAACAACTCGAGCAATGAAATGCTCAGTGGGTATTTTAACTGCACCAAGGATCCTTACGTACTGACGCTTTCCAGTGACGTCACCAGTCACATCGGTTTACATTACATTGGAATTCGTCTGCCTGGCTCCGATGGCTTTTCAAAGGAAATTAAACGCAGGCGCAGATCTTGCTCTGAAAACGGAAGACACAGGAGGTCGGAAATGTGTGTGGAGTTTAAGGATCCCCCGACAACTCCTCCCCCGACCCCCAGGGTGATTGTTCCGGAGTATGATCCCAGTACTGATGTAAACTACACATTGTCAATCTCCATGGGAGCATGTTTGTATTGGTCCGAAGCTAAAGAGAAATGGACATCATACGGCTGCAGAGTGAGTGAAATTTATTATTTTCAATAGCTACACTTTTTTTAGTAATTAGTTTTTTGGTGGGTTTGCCTTTTCTAGCTTTGCGACATCTCCTTACATACGCTTAAAACATGGCCGAAAATCATAAGTTTAAACAGGTAGCCAGAAAAAAATGTCATAGGATAAGCAGTGGAGGTGACGAGTCTTACTAAAATTGACTCAATGGTACCCAAAATAAGCCAAAGAAAGGTTCCTGAAAAATCGAATATCGTCGAAACGTTACCATAAAACCGTGGGTGAGCCTAACTTAACCTAATACTTATCTCATAGCAGCGCAGGTGATATTTTTAGTATCGTGTTTATCTTTGTTTCCGAGCGACTGATGCAAAATCCTTTGACTCGAAGTCTGGGCCTCGCTAGAGAATATACAAAGATTGCAGACTCCGCGCACGCCTTAGAAAGAATTGAAATTGTAATTTCCATCATCTTTTTTTACTCTTTTTACCTTCAATCAAGGTTGGGCCAAAGCCAGTCAATGGTTCTGTTCAGTGCCTCTGCACACATCTCTCTGCGTTCGGCGGTGACTTTTTGGTTGCTCCCAATCCTATCGACTTTGACCAAGTGTGGGACGCGTTCAGTAACATCTTAGAGACAAAAAACTTTGTAGTGCTTGGTACAGTATGTGCAATGCTTGGAATTTCCTTAATTGTGGTGGTTTTTGCACGGCGGGCGGATCAAAGTGACAGACAGAAGGTAAGGAAACGTCGTTAAATGTACAATAGAAAACCTTTTCATTCCCAAGACAGAATTTCTCCTCAGTGCGGTGCTGCATCGGTGGGAGAGTATAACAGGATAACTTAGTATTATCATTTGACCTGATAACATGGATTGGCCACCGTAAAGAATTTCAAAGCTGACGTTTCGAGCGTTAGCTCTTCGTTGGAGCTCTGATGAAGGGCTTCGACGAAGGGCTAACGCTCGAAACGTCAGCTTTGAAACTCTTTACGGTGGCCAATCAAATTTATCAACGCAGTTGATCATACCAAATTACCCTGTTACGTCTTACAGTTCGCTCTGTGATTAGAACGTGTAGTTTTAACTTACTCATGATAATTGGTCCATCCATTCAATTCTCTTTGTGTCCCCGAGCGCACAAGACCATGAGTAAAGTGTATCAAAGAGAGAGCTGATGTTTTTTGTTTAACTTTTAGGTAACCCAGGTGATTCCTTTAGGAGACGTTTATCCCAATAGCCACTGTTACGAGCTGAAAATTTACACTGGTTTGTGGCGGCTAAGCGGAACCTCCGCTAATGTGGCCGTCATGATTTACGGAGACATAGACACAGATGTAATCCCGCTGAACTGCAGCACCATGTGCAGCAAAAAGCTGTTTGCTCGGGGAAGTGTTAACACATTTATATTGTCGCTAAAGGAATCGCTGGGTGATATATCACATATCAAAATCTGGCATGATAACTCTGGAGAAAATCCTCAATGGTTCGTCAACAAAATCGTCATCCGGGATGCGACTTCGGATACCACATGGCATTTTTTGTGTAACCGCTGGATAGCAGCCGAAAGGGAAGATGGTAAAATTGAGCGCGTCTTCTACGCGTCGTCCACCAAGGAAGTCAACAGTTTTAAGAACAAGTTTTACAGTCGGGTGTCTATGGGGCTTGGTGACGGGCATGTGTGGCTGTCGGTTATCACCAGACCCCCGACGAGTTCATTTACGCGTGTTCAGCGTGTGTCGTGTTGCTTATCCGTGTTGATGTCTGCAATGGTTACGAATGCCATGTTTTATCAGTTTGGCGCTATGGATAACGACAACGCTTTTCACTTTGGGCCGTTCGTATTAAGCTGGCGACAGATCATTATCGGTTTACAAAGTGCTGTCTTGGTTGTTCCTGTGAACGTGTTGATCGTGTTTCTGTTCCGCAACAGCAGACGTAGACAAGAGGTGACTCAAGCCTTCAACACAAACAGTGACAACTTCACGGTGGACGAAACGCACAGAACAGGCTGCTTCTTGTCGCGATTCTTTGTTTATATCGCCTGGGCACTATGCATTTTGACTTCTCTAACTTCAGCTGCTTTCACTGTCTTCTACAGCATGATGTGGGGCACTGAAGTGTCTAACAAATGGCTAACTTCCATCTTGGTGTCTTTCACCCAAGACATTCTGTTTATTCAACCAATCAAGGTAGTAATTGTAGCTTCATTGTTGGCGTTACTCATCAAGAAGGCGCCGGAGGATGAGAGCGATAAAGAAAACGAGAAGTCAGTGGCGCAGTCTATAGTTAAGGTATGTTGATTAACATAGCGTCGGAGAAGATATCTCCAAAAACGAAATTCATACAAGTAACATGTAAGGGAAACCTGACGAAATGCCAGGGAGCAGGGGCCTGTCGAGGGGGAGGGAGAGGAGGGTCTCTCTGATATAACTCTTAATTCTATTTTCGTTCTTTCTCATTAGGGGGAATCCCATAAACCACTGAAACCCGACAACCAGCAGCTAGAAAAGTTTCGGGAGTACCGCTTACGAGTGATGGTGATGGCGCGAGTTCTCATTGAATTGGCTTTCTACTTGATCTTTGCCTGGGCACTGATGACGATATCTTACGGTAGGAGAGACACTGGGCACTATTGGATGACAAAGGGAATTGATGACCTGTTGCCGAAATTTGACAGGGTAAACCTTTATTTTCAACACTTCTTTTAAACTTGAGCAAACACCCCTTTAAAATGAAAACTGAAAATAAACTCAAGAGTCGCATCAGCTAAAGATGCGAGAAGTGTCTTTTTAATTGAGATTTTTGTTGATATCATTTTTTGAGTGTCAATGCTTAACACACATCTATCTTGAGTTTAAACACGGCTGCGAACAAGGGAAGTTTTCGGAACCGGTCATTACCGGAAAGTTCAAAACACGGGCCCCAGGTCTGACGGTAAAAGGAGAAAACATTTAAAGACCACGCAGATGAAAAACCTTAACAAGTGATTTGTTTCCTCAAAGGTCCGGGATACTAACACTTTTTGGGCGTGGACCCAGAAATACCTGGTTCCCGCTGTGTATGACGTAAAGTGGTACAACGGACAGCCCTTCGAGTACAAAGAAGGATTTATGTCAGACATGTCCGGATACTTAGTTGGTATGCCCCGCTTTAGGCAGCTCAGGGTGAAACAAGGTAGGAAATATTCCTGTATTATTATTATGGAAAACCAGCGAACATTTTACAACTCGGTCGAAACGTACTGTTGTTCGTTTATTTGCCTACCGACTAGGAATGTTGCTCGTCTAACTATACTTAGTAACCAGCTGTATCTGTAACTAGTCCTTTGCTTTGGGTAATGAGAGACAAGTGTCTCGCTTTTCAGTTTAAATGACTGGCCATGAGTCAATAAACTGCCATTTAAAATTCATGTAGTACTAAGGTAAATTTTAAACAAAACGGTGAGAATAATTATTCACAAAATACTTCGGGCCCATGGTTCTGTACTTTTCACACAAAATATTGTATTAATTGGTTTGATTACCATTTTACTCCAGGCCCGTGTCCTATTTCACCTCGGTATTCCGAGTTCAGAGAGACACTGCACCCTTGTCTACCACCTTATAGTGGGGACAGTGAGGACCAAACCCTCTACAGTATGCCACAATGGCGGAAAATTCCAACCAATGAAACGGTGCTGCTTTCGGAATTTGCACTGCGTCGGATGTGCCCGAGACCTTGGCGTTACAAAACGTCGGAAGAGCTGCAGAGTCTTCCACTTCAAGGTCTACGAGCACTTTACGGAGGAGGTGGATTCGTAGCAGATCTCGGCTACACAAAGGCATCCGCCCTGAGAGTCATAACAAACTTGCAGAATAATTCATGGATTGATGAAAAAACGCGTGCGGTTCTTATCGAGTTTATGGTTTTTGACTCGTCCACAAATCTTTTCAGCGCTGTCTCTTACATTTATGAGGCTCTGCCCTTGGGTGGTGCAGCTACGTTTAAGAGAATCAACACGATGTCACTGTACGGTGCGACGGGAAAGCGTTCTTTTAGCGCGGTGTGCGAGCTAATAGTACTTCTCATGGTGTTCTACTTTATCACTGCTGAGGCAGTAAAAATCTGGAAGGAAAAATGCTCCTATTTCAAGTCCGCATGGGCTTATGTGGAGATGGCACAGATTTTGTCTGCAATTGCCACAGTTGTGCTTTCCATTTTCCAAAGGTACTATACAACGAAGCTGGTGAACAGAATTCACGCAAATCCCTTTGAAACTTCAAGCTTTCACTACACTGTGATGTGGTCAGATCTTGAAAATGCGCTTATAGCCGTCCTAGTATTCATTTTGACCATAAAAGTTCTCAAGATCTTACAATTTAACGAGCACATTTCTAGTTTGGCAGCAAGCATGGTACGCTGCCGCGCCAAAATCGTTTCCTACTCGGCTGTCTTTATGGTGGCATTCCTAGCCTTCATGCAAGTCGCACTTCTCGTCTTCGGTAGCACAACGAAAGCGTACTCGAGTGTTTCCGAAGTCTTCCGAACTCAGTTCGGATTGTTTATCGGAGGAGACACGGACTACCAAGATCTTAAGTCGGCCAATCGGATTATTGGACCAATCTACTTCTTTCTGTTCATGACCACCATGGCTTCTATACTTATAAACATGTTTCTGGCGATCCTGAATGAATCATACCGAGAAGTGAGAGTTTACCCCGATCGAGAGCACGAAGAGGCTGAAATGCTGAGGGTGTTTTTGGACTATGCTAAGAAAAAAGTGAGCAAAAAGCTGACTTCGTTTCAGGATACAAAATTTCTTCCAAGGAGAGACAGCTACAGCGTTCAAAATCAACACTCACAATACAAGAAAAAGTTTGAAGAAGACTGTAAGTACACACCGATAAACTGGAGCAACTGCGACTCTATCAGCGAGAAAGGTCTGATGGGTAACGTTAATGTTACTGAGAGTTCGTTTCTCGAAGATATTAAAAAACGCTTGAGAAATATCAGCAGCGAGCTGAGAGACATTTCTATCTTGCATCGCTCGCGAAGGTACAAAGTCTATGAAGTTCAAAAGAAGAATGGCATCCAGGATCAGAAGTTTGACGAAGACTTGCGGGTGCCCTGCAGGGGACTGGGAATAGAAAAAGTGTCCAGTAAATGCAGCTTATTTAGTTTGAGTGAAAGTACAATGTACATTGACAGACTACGTAAGGGTCGTGACTCAGTGAGAAAGTTGCTAGGCAACGAAGACTCCTCCGATGTCGAAGATACCGCGTGGGACGATGGGACGTCTTACGCTGAGTCTATGACAACCTTCTTTGGCGGTTCTGGGACTATTTATGACATGGATAGAGAGCCTTTCAGAGACTCGGACGCTAGTGATTTTCAGGATAGAGAAAGCTACATTTAGACTTACAGATTGAAGGATCGATTGTACATACCTAGGATGTCGTCCTTTAGAGTAAAGGGAAGCTATATATTCGGATCAAGAGTGAATCAAGCGGAGACTGAATCCCTCGTATACGCTTTATTCTCTCTCAACAATTTTTAGACTTGCGCTAGTGTTCGCACCTATGCAAGTCGTTAAAAAAATATCCTTTTTTAATAGTGCAGGTTAGCTGTACCCATACAAACCACTGCTCGATTTAATTATCTACTAAGAGGTTATACGCTTATGTTTATTATGTGAAAATCGAATTGAGAACTTCAATGAGCAGGATGTATGGATAAGCAAGTTTGTACATATTTTCCGATAATTAGGGAGTTGCCTGTCAAATAACTCTTTAATAACGTTAAAAGGTCGGCCTAACTGTTATCCTAATTAGACAAATTGGCCTTCTGACCTCGACAACATGTTACTGAAACGGTAGAATTTTCATTGAACAGCGAGCGCAAGAAGTCTAGGAAGGATCATTTGAGTGCGCTGAAAAGAATAGTAATTATGTCGGCCATTGTGACAGATGTCTATTACAATGAAACGAGTGGTGACTCACTCAAGGTGTGAGGATAGGTATCCTGGAAATGTCCTTTTTTAAAAATAGCTTTACAAATTCAATAATTATATAAGTATTTTTATAGCTTTGTTTCAATGATATAGCTTTATGTCGACTTGATCCCAGGGTAATTGTTGCACTAAATCGTTTTTGTTAGAAAATGATTTAGCTGAACGTTCTTGGTATTCAAAGTTGAATCTGTAAAATAATTTACTATAATTACTATATACTAAGACGGACAGTCTAGTTATCATGCATGAGGCGGACGTAGAGAACAGTGCCGAGAACAACTGTGTAGGTCTTTGATTATAGAACATTTGATGTTCAATTTATGTCAGAGGCAGAAATGTAAATAAAAGATTTAAACGTCGAAGATATCCGGGGTGTTTTCATCATCGAGTAAATGATAACGCTGATATTTGTCAGTCTTAGTTTAAGACTGTGTGACTGCCAGACTTGTTTTGTTTCGGTACACTTTTCCTAAAACCTGCACAGTAGAGTTTCTTTAAAGGCCGTTTGAGTTATTTTCTAGCTTATTTGCAACTCACATTTCACAGTCTTCCGTTGACTATTTACACCCTGGCATCAGTATGCATATTCATACTGTTCTCTTTGTATTTCCTGTGGTAGTAGAGCTTGTTCAAAATCAAAGGCTTCTCTGGTGGGTGATCATTTCCCTTGTTCTCATGACTTAAATGTTTGAATCAACAGTGATACTGCTGGGAGAAATTAGGAGCCAATCACTCTTGGGATTAAAGGGTTAAAAGATCGCGGCTGGTTGCTTAGGGGTCGCATCCTGATCTCGGGTAAATGGCGGCGCATTTGTCATTTTACCGCGACCGATGACAAAGGAAAGCCACAACTTCTTCCGGGCAAGGTTGGAGCTCCCCCCCATATCATGGTCTTAATGATATACCGCTGTTTCCAAAGAGGTTATCGAAAAAAAGCGCGACACTCTCGAAAGGTAATCTGAGTATCCGGTAATCAATGAATTTCAAAAAAATCAGTGACGTTTCTTCATATTTCCCTCAAATCCTGAGGTCAAGGAACCGTGACCTGAAACTACCCACAAACACCTTTCAGGGCTGTTGCGTGCACTTCTACGCTTTCTTCCGACAACCTCGACACAGCTGTAATCAATCAAACACTGAATTAAAAGTTTGCCATGATAGCTGTCCGCATAAGAAATAAGCTAGTTTTCTTTCGCTAAATCACATGCAAGAAAGATGAAAATGCTCATGTTTTGTGATTTATTTTGCCCTCAAGGCCTTTTATTATTTCCTTTCCTCCTTATTTTCCTTTCCTCTTTAAGGCAAGACCCTGTAGCACTGACTGTGCGGAAATGTGCTTCCATTTAAATACGAAGTAATTTGTCAAAGACCAAAGATACGACTTTTTCATGTCGGCTTCAGGCAAAAAGACTTGGAACCATCGCAAATCTACAACTAAATTCTTCTCAGTCCTTGAGATAAAAAACAACAACAACAATCGAAATGGTGCAGAGAACTTGACATAACTCGTCTCCATTAGCATCGTGGAAAGCCCCGGGCATATTCTCCGATATCATCGGCTGCCCCTCAATGTTCTGATCCAAAACACTCCAGATTTTCCCTCTTTGTTTTCACTAAAAGAACTTAACCCAATTTCATGACGGTTAGAAATCTCAGAGCAATTCTGATCTTTTGCTTCTAATATCATTCCCACATCAGGGAAAAGTTCGTGCGCAATTGCAGGAATAAATCTTAAATCGTTTTCGAACTTTAGTCTATGCTCATCTGAAAACGAGCACTGCAGAGTTCTTCGAAAGTCGTGACATCATCGGGCCACATATCTCTGATTAAAAGCTGGGGCTAAACAAATATTTCGTCTCCGACGTACACCGTCAACTTAACCAGAGTTTGAGGTTGAACAGCGCAAAATACCCCTCAATTTCAACGAGCCAATTACTTCACTTTCGGAGATGAATCTTCTTATAGTTGTTGTCTTCCGCTCTTTCAACTGACTGAGTTTTATCGAGTTTTACGAGACCGCCACCTTTGCTGGGAACGCGGTTACATACATTTCCAAACAAAGACACTAAAAAGGAGAAAAAACAAATGTCATTGAAAGTAAAGTGCCAACGATCATGTACATTCTGAGGTTATCAGTTATCTATGTGAAGTTTTTCCAACGTTTCCACCCACAATACTATCAAATGAAGCAAAATTTATTCCGCAATCTTTCTTAATCTATCGTCTTGCAGAACACTTTCAAAATCGCTCATCCCTGTGGCATCCTGGACGGTTGTCAATTAAATTATTCATCTGGCCACGGTTGTCGGAAGTGTAGCCACCCACTAGATAGATCTCTACACAGTGGATAGCAATACGTTTTGGTTACTCCTTTCCGCTGGATAGCGATTTATCCATCTGAACTGGGCTCAGGTAACAAGTCATCTGGAGCTCAGTTGCTGTAACGTGCGACAAAAAAATCGGGACTAGCAGAGGTTGGCGGAATCTTACAAAGAGGATCAGAATCTTTTTCGTTCCATGCTTGTAGCAGATGTCAAAATCGTTCTTACTTCATCGATCCTTCACAACAATCCCTATTTTTCTCACGAAATGAGCGCAGACGGATGAGGCATTTTGGTTGATTCGGTACAAAATTATCAAGTACAAATATCTTCATCTCCGACTTACCTGCAATCATCTCCCCCTGCACTTATCAGGTATCGGTCATCACATGTAAATCGCACATTAGTCACGTGAGCGGAATGGCCCACATACCGCTTGAAGGGAGCCTTAAAACAAACATACCCGAATGTTTAACAGCCTAGCTTTATAAACATTGTAATGCATTCTCTTTCAAAAACATAATGTACACAAATTTGCTTAATATTGGGGACACAAGACTCATATTGGGCGCAAGTTTTCAGGCATTGAATGGGTGGACTTAAAAAGTACTTCATCTGTTCTCAAAAAAAAAAACCTGCGAGTAACGTTCGCACCTACAAGATCGTTAGTTTTGTATGTAAAGCCCTATTCCTGTGATCAAACGAGAAAATAATAGCAGCGTACGTTTCAGTACACTTCACGTAGATCACAATGACAAAAAAAAACTTACAAATTTCTCTGAGGCAGGGAACTCAAACAGTTTCACAAAACCAAAGTCATCACCGGTGGCAAGCGAGAGACCGCTGGATGAGAGATTGGCGCAGTTGACGTCTGCTTTGTCAGCGTTACGAGGCCAAACACCAATGACCTCATTACCAAGAACACTGAAACGTCCACAGATAAGAATAAGGAAAAAATCCTTCTAAAGTGATTAAGTAACTGTGCGAAGTTTACCGCTGGAATTACTTACCTCGTCCATGAGGCCCAAGTAATTCTGTTGATTTCCTTTCTGTCCTTTAAGGGATTTCCACTTGGGACAGTGAACACTAAACGCTCATAAGCGCCCGTGGAAACCTTACCCAATAAACAAACAAAACATGAAAAGTAAATACTGGTATACGTGAGCTAAATGCATGTCCCTCTTCCATCATGACATGTTCTAACACTGCGCTACAGGAAACTGCTAACGTGTCAGATTTTAAACCATTGCGTAGAATGCCTATTGTTCTCCGGACGTTTTCGGTTTAATCCAGAAATAACACTTACCATTGGTACGCTCTTACTACATATGCACCAGACAAAATAATTTTCAATTTTGGAAAAAGGATTTAACTTAGCGCGACAATCATTCGTCAAACAATGTCTGCCTGATTGTAAAATTCGAGCCAAAAAGTGAATTCAAAACCTAGAAACAGCAGATCAGACTTATTTCGTCATTTTGGATGTAATCGCCATGTCGACGGTGCAATATATCAGCAAAGTGTGGTATTAATAGTAAATAGTTTAATATATCACCTGAATGAACCTGCCATCAGCAGAGAAGTCCATCTGAGTGACGAAAGAAGGGATTCCCTTACAGTAACCAGCACGTGAAAGAGGTCGTCCTTCGCGAAGCTCATAGAAGTCAACACAGCTGTCATCTGATCCAACTGCCAGGTATTTACCATCTGGACTAAATCTATCAGGGTTAATAACACCATCAATCATTTGGGAGAGGTGAAAACAACCTCACGAGACTAATGATGAGAACAAAACCTACAACGGCACATGACAGTGAGAAGGTCCACGGGAACGGCAAAGAAGACCGGAAGTTAGCCGTGACATCCCTGTGAGAAGCCAACAGACACCATCATACTGGATATCCAAGGAAAGGAAATAATGGGAGTTTAGCGGTGGACTGATTCCACGAGGTGGCTTTTCTTATCCGCTGTTCCCAAGTTGCATTGGAATTTTAAAACACAGGTTGATGAGACGGGTTTCAAACAAGTGATAATTAATATTATGCATACCTGTAGCACGCAAGGGTAGGAACCCGTGGCTGGTGCGGCATGGCATGGTCCCTCTTCAACAGTCAATCAAACAGAACATGAACTACACAACCAGCCAATCCGAACTCAAAGAAAATAACTGTTGCCAGCTACGTTTAATTTCTAAGAGATCTGATTGACTTATTGTATCGTCAACGCACGGTCTGATTGACCGTTGTGAACGAGAAAAAAAATCCCATTCCACCTGGCCTGAGGTCCCATCCTGTCCCGTCCCGTTCCGTACTCATGTGGGACATCTTAGCGACTTTTTTCAAACTAACCATGTTTATTAATTTGTTTACCTGATATCTTGAATAGCTTGGTGACGATCACGCTTCTGCGCCACAACCTTTAGCTCAGCGGTTTTCAATAGAGCAAAGGCGCCATTTTTCAGACCAACAGCAAGTAACTCCCCGTCAGGAGAGAAGGCCGCCGAACGAGCGGCGAAACCCAGTGAAGCCATCTTTACCATAGTCTATGAAATGCAATAGTTGTTTTTCATTTTACTTTGCTGACAACATACTGTAGAGTTTTTTGTTAACACAAATCTCCACGAATGTCTGCAGATATTTTGTCTTGTGTAAAAGTTCACGAAAAATATTTTTGTTCTCAGTTTTCTAGCTTCTCTGATAAATGGTCAAAGCTGAACACATACAGTTCTCTGAGCGAAGGTAGTACACGTTTCCTCTAAGAATCACAGAGCTAAGTTAACCCTTAAACTCCCAGTTCAAATTTGTCATTCTCCTTACTGTCAACCATGCAGTTCTCATAATGTTAGTTCAGAGAATTTAGTATTGGATCAACTAATTATCCCCAAATTGATATTTTTCTTTATTCTCACCATTCATCTGGTTGATATTGTATTGATATTGTAAGGAGAAATTCTGTCTTGGTCACTCATGGGAGTTAAAAGGTTAAGTAAAACCAAAGGCAATCCCGGATTACTTCAGACACCTTTGACATATTCTAACCATCAAACTCAATGAGAAATTAGTCAACCAATCAAAGGGCAATACCTTACTGGCCACGTCCCAAAGTCTCACTGTCTGATCATCACTTGCTGTCACAAATACTTCTCTCTCCGGATGGCAGGCTAGTCCCCAGATCTCCCCCTCACCATGACCACGGACTAGAGTCTAGGAAAAGATAAAGTTTAGAGAGTTATGTACTGCATGAAATTTGCAATGAAAAAAAGATTACATGAAGATAATGCAATGCTCGAGAGTACGAAAACACTCGAGATAACCCTGACCTGTGAGGTAGCTGCTTTCTCTGTGATTTCAATTATTTCACTGCCTTTTGTGCCTACCAGGATTTTACCCTAAAAAGGAACAATCTTTGTTCATCTCTCAGTTTACAACACTTTTCAGAAGTTGTTACAGTTGTTACAAACATAAATGCAGCAAAACAAGAGGAGTGGTAAAGATTGTGGATGTCTAATTTGCTTCCGCACACATAATTCGACATATCTCTTACAATTTTCAATTACTTAAACACATCTCAAACTCAAGATGCATTAGAGTACTTAAAGGGTTGGGGCGGGGGAGCGACGGTTTTAAGTGATGTCTTCCGGCGAACAATAAACCGCTTAGCTAACCTTGCCTCTGCAGACTGACCGCACAACACAGGGACCTGGACCCAGGGATAGCGTGCGGCACCGCTTCATCTCTTGATCCCACAGTTTGATACCAACGCCTTCCTTGGTGTTCCTGTGGAGAGGCAAAAGAACGTGATACTATCAGGCCCTTTCTAACATGGCCATTCCTTGTGGAGAAGGTCAATTCTTAAAGCCAATAGAATAGGCTTTGGGCCAAGTTTTGTAAATAGGGTCAGTTAATCCTCATCCTACCGCGCAGACTATTCGCGAAACGCACAGAATGACGAGGTAGAAAAAGTTTGAGAATTTTCAAACTATTTCGTACTGAAACACCTCAATCGCAAGTGCATACTCACGAGTAGACTTTTGTATTTTATTCACACCAGCAAGAGGTGTTTCTTCCAGTTCTACCAGTAAAGATCAATCAAAAGCGCACTTGGCAATCCCTTTAAAAGGAACTTCTCAAAAATTGAACGCACATGTCTCCATTGAATCCACGGATTGAAAACTCCTTGAATTTTGATATTTTCGATAGTTTCCCACTTCCTATCTGCACCTTGCTCACAACAATTAATTCTGAATGTAGGAGGAATAACTGCTTTATTTTTTACCGCACCAAAAGCCGACATCTTCTTTTCTTACCCTTTTTCCTTCCCACCACTCACTATGAGTCCATCCCTAAGTGTCGTGTGCATCGCGAACACGGGTCCGTTGTGCGCTCGGCTTACCACCCTCGCGAGCTTATGACCCAGCCATACAAATACATCTCCGTTCATGGCTCCGGTAAATGTCAAGTTTTCCTGTGTAAATTCAAAGTACATGTGCACATGTATGTGTAAAGGAATAGATTTCAACAAAATACTAGAAATAAACGTAAAAATCGAACATGCATCATACCAAGAGAGGTAATAGCCACCTTCATATGAATGACTTTCCAACAAGAGTAAAAAAGGAAGTCTTCTTATTGTAGTGTGAACAGCCGTTTTTTTTGTTTTTTTTTGTTTTGTTTTTTTTTTAAGTAGTTAAGCGAGGAACGCGAAGCGAAGCGCAAGAACGAGCGAAAAGCGCTAAAGCGATTGCCCCTACCCTGGACTACGATCTAGGTGAAAATAATTGATCAGTGAACAGACTACATGCAGTGACAAAATGGATAACGCCTTGAAATCGGCAATTGTTGCCGGGGTCATTGTGTTGCGTTCTCCAGAAGGTAACAGGACTCCCTCCACTGAAGAGTATAAAAGGGTTAACCAGCGATTAACTGACTCGCGTCCCATCCAGAAGAAATCGACATACACCTAGTCGCTTCATGCTAAAGAAAACAGAACAACTTGAGCTCCACCAGTGTGGAATGCACTACTTTCTTACCGCTCCAAATGCAACTGACAGCATAGTCTGCATCCGTAGTTGAGAATCATCTCCTTCCCCCTGCTGGGGGGTGGTTATGACCCCCCGTTTCCCCACTAACTGCCCGCCGGCTAAAGTCCAAAATTTGACGTGTTTAACACCACACGTGACAAACTGACTATCGGAGTCAGGCCTGAACTCAGCAACGAAGATCCTGTCTGTGTGACCGTGTGAACTAGCGAGTTTGGTTCCTGTAAGATTACAAAGAAAGAGAAATTCTGAATTTAAACGTTTAAAAAAAACATCATGACTTTTTCACGATTTTTGGCTGTGGATAATTAAGAATTGAATTCAAAACTCAAGCGTTTCTTAAATCGATCAAACAGAAGAAAATCTAACATGTACAATAAATGCGGACATTTATACATTAGTACAGGAAACGGCTAAGACGTAAACAGTACAAATTAAATTCCATCTGCTTCACCTTCGCATCCACGTGACGATAAATCACTTCCGATCGCGCCAATTAAGAAACGTTTCTTGACTCTACAGTTCTTTACCACGAAAATACCCTAAACCTCTCGACTGGACCACTGGTGAAGTAGATCTCTTTTCTACACTGATTAATCATGCCTTTTTTTGGTGACAAATGTAACACTAACCTTCGGCCCATTTCCACACAGCAATGCTATGCGCAGCATCAATTCCTACAGTGACCAAAAGCTTGCCGTTGCAGCTGAAGTTCACCGCACAAACTCCCTTAGTGTGAAATCCTTGAATAACAGATAATGTATCCTTGGACAGGGCATCCCATACATGCACACACGGCTCTGTGCCGATCTGGCCAGTTGCTACAATGTTCTGTGTGATCACGGATTTATTAGTTAATACTTCGCATTACAAGCAGAAGAATTACCGATTCAAGGAGAAGTCTATCATTTAATCTACCTGAAAAATCTTCTAATGATTCCCTTTCCTGCGTTGAACATATCAGTGTAACGGTAGGTAAAAAAAAACCGCAAACTGCTTTTCATTTAAGTTAAACTATACCAGCAACATGACCTTCAAATTTCTCGAAACTTATTAAAGATAGAAAAGAAAATCTGAGTACCTTATCATATTGTTAAAAACGACTTGAAAAATTACGGGGGGAAAAAAAGGTAATCTCATTGATTTTGACTGTGCATTAGCTTAAGGAGAAACCAAATCTATGTTCAAGTTGGTTTACCTTATACTTAGGATGTTGATTGACAGTCAAACAGATGATGTCATCAGTATGTTGGAGGTAAAATGATTGTACACCATTGGCCGTGCTCAGTACAATCCCTGCTCCAGCAGCATGGTACACAATGTCCCCCTCTGGGAGGTAGTGTAAGTTATTTCTGGTGTCGAAACCTCGGTAACCATGAATGAATTCCAAACTAAGTTCCTGCAAACGTGAAGGGTTTTTATAAAATTAAAAGAAGCAAAACGAACGCCAAAAACTGGCGGTGCACACCAAAATTCGTGGTAGCAAACGCGCTAGACTCCGGAACGTAAGGTCGATCCTGGCTCTTTGTACCTTACGATTTGGGGATTCATAACTCTCAAAGTGCATCTCTACACCCAGGGAGGGAGGTTTTCCCTAAATAGGGGAAGGGGGGGTTGTTTTAACTTTAAATGTACAATGATGCCACCCTGGAGGAGTAGCAATACTCCTGGTCGGTTTATGCAAATGAAACCAGAACAAGGTTAAGCAGCTATGAGCCTGTAGAACCTTGCGAGTGACTGAACATAAAATGTAGATAAAACAAGAGAAACGAGTTGGCGACTTTGTGAACCGCTACATACACCATTACCTGGATGGGCTGGGTTCTTCTCTTTTTTCCCGAGTCCCTCTGCCGATCCAACTGCCTCACCTTTGGAGGAGCTTTGGAGCCCCGACTTACCGCGGGTCTAACACAGGAAAAAAAGACATACAAAAAAACATCACTAAACCAAACTGGGTACCGAAAAAAATTATATATATATATAATTATATATATATATAAGAAACTGATTTGGACGAGAACCCCAGTAAAAAACTCCAGCGCTCATTTCCACATGAGTTATGGTTAGGATTTAGTTCCGGTACCAAAAAACCTTCAAAAACGCTTCTGCACTGACAACAGCATTAACAAGTAAATTGGGCATAGGGAAAATTTCAAGGAAATGGTTACAAAACCCCCCATCTCGGAGAATTAGCAATACTCCAACCCCTCCATACTATAGAAGCCAGGATAATCTCTAACAGAAATGTCTGACTAGGCTCGTAATACCCGTACCCTCGCCCTGCCCCGCCCCACCCCACCCCAGATTAACAATAATCATGTACCTGTGTTCCTCGTCTTCCTGTCTATCCCTGAGGTGTGGTTTAACACCTTTTGTGGTTCGTATCGGATTTGCATAAATCTTGTCCTCATATGTAAGATTCTTCTCTTTCTCCACGTCACTATCATAGCCTCCTTCCTCTTCCGAATCTGTGTCCGAGTCATCGCTATCGCCGCCCGTGTCCTCGCTTTCATGAGCTCGAGCATGTGACCACACCATGACAGACGTGTCGGCTCCACCCACAGAGATTAAGCGGCCGTCATCGCTTGTCCAACGGACGTTTGTCACATGCGCAGAATGTCCAACATATTTTTTAAATTTAGCGTGTTTGCCCTACAAATCAAAGATCATTGTTATTAATCTTTAAATGGTTTCAGTAAAATATAACACAACCATTACAACAACCACACTGCAACGATCAAATGAAAATTCACGCCTGGCACAGGAAAGCGAATAATATGTAGGATTTGGAATTCGTTTAAAAATAATTTGACGTGTTTATTGTATTGGCGGAGGGAGAAAGGGAGAGTATAATGAGAAAAGGTTCGGTTTTTTAAGTTCTACATACGATAATAAAAGTACGACGCAAGACCATTTTTAAAGAGTTTTCTAGTGGATCTCAAATGATAAAGATAAAGGTTTTTAGATAATTAACATACCACTCCCTAGGCAGGGTTATTCTGCCATAAATACATGCATATTACATAAGTACACTAATAAATAATATTGAGAAGTTAAAAAAGGAATAAAAATATATCATATAAAAACGTAAGAATTAGGTGCAATAAGAAACAAAAATATTACAATTGCAAAAAATTACATATATTAAAAAACGAGATGGTATATTAACTGCCCCTGGGATTAGGTGATGAGATTTACAACACCCTAAAATAACTCATCCAGGGAAGTAGCAAATCCTCTCTCTTTCGCTCACCTGCACTGGATACTCAAACAACTTCACAAACCCAAAATCATCTCCAGTGGCTAAAATCTTCTTGTCCTTTGTTAAATCGACTGCGTTCACATCAGTGATATCTGAGTGGGGCGGCCATATTCCCGAGCAATCATCCCCAAGAACACTTGTCCAAGTGGACCAATCAATCTTCTTGGATTCACTGGAGACAATAGCTTGGCGTGTACCGCGAGGTGCCTCAAAGAACAGGCGCTCTTTAGCGCCAGAGTTTGTTTGGAGAAGCTTCCCTGAAAATTTATAGGAGTAATATTAAGTCAGTTTTTGGACTTTGCAAAACTACCTTCGACTTAAACCTCTCACGATATTTTTTCAATTCGTTAAAAAAAATGTCAGTCGACCCAAGTGGCCCACGTATAGAAGGATCAAATCAGCCTGGGCCTCATATGAGCATACCTTTCGAGTCCCAGTCTACATGAGTGACGTAGCTTGAGCTCCCTTTGCAGATACCAACTCGTTTGCTGCTCAGCACATTATAGATGTCAACAAAGTTGTCATGTGACGCTACAGCCAAATATTTACCTTGACCTGTCATGAGAAAAACAAAAATGAAAAATGTTCACCACACTTCAACAAATGATCATCCTTCCCTTTTCCCCACAGGAACAAACCACAACATTATCTAAGGGGAAGAGTGTAAAACGGAAGTAATGGCCGGTAAATTAGTCCTCGATCTCCTAATACTTCGATCTCACTGGTAATTTATCATCTGTGTTTTTCGTGCTCTATTGCTGCTGCACACTCTGCAGAAGTTTTTGTTTCCAGTTTTTCTCTGCATCACAAAATGGTCTTACCAGGTGAAAACTTGATGTCTGAAATTTCTTCCTTTCTGTGGTGAAACCCGACGATGTCATCCAAGGTTGTTGAGTCAACGACTTGAAAACTACCTGAGGAGCATACAAATAATAAAGTAAACAAAGGACATCAAGCCATTATTAAAATCATAGAAGGGAGACAAAAAATTCAAAGGATAGAATGAGAAAAGAAAATTTCCCTTCTTCACTTTCTCTAAGCTGGGTTCGGCAGCGATTCTGGACTGGTTTTAGACGAATTTGGTCCCGTTGAAGACGGATCCGACCGATTTGGATGGGCGTGCCCGACTTCGAACCGGTGCGTCCATTTTTGATCAGGTTGCTATGAGTTTTGACGATTTTGTTCGATTTAGGAAGGTTACGCTTTATTTCTAACGGGCACAGGCGCTTTCAGCTAATAACTTTTATCTAATATTAGCCTGCCATTGCGCTTAAATGTGCTGATACAAAATTCGACGTACAAAAATCTCCCACTTTACGTAGAAGAAAAAGCGCCCTTTCAAGGTTTCGATGCATCAGTCCATGTTACTAATAACAGTCTTGGATGGATGCATCAGCCTGGTGACCAGTAAGCGCTATCAATATTCTTACCGTCTTTAAATCCAACAGCCAAGACTCTTCCATCAGGTGAATACGTTACACTCCTACCGGGCTTCGTCAGTTTACGGACATTCTTTAACCTATGGGCAGCTAGATCCCAGACTCTCACGGACATGTCGTCACTGACTGTCGCACAGAGCTCCTCGGATGGATGGGAGGCCAGGCCCCACAACTCACCTTCCAGATGACCCTAAAAGTGATCAACCAAGCAGCCAACTTATATTTAAGAAGAAAGTCAAAAAGTGAAAAAAATAAATCACAAGTTGCACATTGTCCAGAGTAATTAGGATACCACTGGCTTCTCACCAATACGTTCCATTTCTTAGTTCTGGATTTAACTTCGCTTAAATCAACCAGACCTGTTTATAGTATCAATAAGGACTGGTCATTATTTACCTTTATCGGGGGAGGGGGGGGGAGATTTTGGTTCTGTCACGATAAAATTTACCGAACCCCCTAAGACTCTGCAGCATTCATATCATCTCCCCCTCCTTGGTAGTCGAGTAGCTGTCAATATTCTATAGCCCACCCTCCGACTGATCCCCCTCAATTCTCCCTGAAAACCATGTGATCCCTCCTCAAAAATTCTCCGACCCCCCCCCCCCCCCCCCCCACTCTGGCGATATATAATGATTGCTCCCATATATAACTCACAAACCAGTAGAAAATGATTAAGCACCTGGATTAGAACTGTGATGGGTCCACTCTTTTCAATTTCCATAATCTGAAATTCAAGGCAATATTTGTAAGATTCACATATTTCTTCCCATATGCCTCAAAGCATTTGGAGAGCGACCAGATTTTTACAATCTATGAGAAAATAAAGACACACGTAGAAAAAAAGCAATGGACGAGAACGAAAACAGCAACATATCTGTCAACGCTAGAATCACTTAAGCCACAAGATTTGCTCGATCAAAATTACAAATTGAATTAGAAATACCTCGCCATTTTTAGTGCCGACTAAAATTTTCCCCTGACCAAGTGTTATTGCACGGATAGGGGGAACATCTTCCAGTAAAATTGAAGCCGGTGGACCCGGACTAAGACTCGTGCGAGTGACCTTGTAACTCTTTAAACAGCGGGAGAAATTGTCATCCCATAAGCCTACAGTACCATCTTTTCCACCCGTCACAAAACCCTGTTAAAACAAAATCAAAGGCTGTATTGATCACTGAAGACAGAAACACAAAAGCATCCGGCAACATCAAACGGTTAGGCAAACTAAAATACGTTGGATATTAGGGTTTGTAACGAATTTCTCATCATTTTACTCCCAAGATCTGACTATTAATTCTCCCATCTTGCTGCAACACATTTCCCTGTCAATTAGTGTTGTATTCTCTTTATCTGTTTCTGGCTTATGTTTGGATGTTGTAGTGAGAAGTTAGGTGTTAATCACTTCTAAGAGTCGAAGAGTTAAGAGGCCTTAAGGTTCTATCGCGAGTCAACTTCCATCTGCAACAAATTAGTATTTACATCAACCTATAAGTGAATTCTCTAAAATTGCTAGGATACGAATAAATAGCCACACTTTCAGTTCACAAAGCTTCATTGTTACCTTTTCTAGCACTTGCATAGCAAACACAGGTCCTTCGTGGGCCTGGACCGAGTTTTGCAGAGCATTTCCCTGCCATATGTACACTTTTCCACTGGCTCCACCAGAGTACACCAAATCAGGACTCTTTCCATAAGTGACACACATCATAGTCTCGGCTTTCCCTGCGCTGCCGAATGTTCCTCGCTTGGAAGTGAAACCGCCTCCGGTCTGTGTCCAGAACTTGATATGCTTCATGCCAGCTGTCACAAGAAGTTCTGGGTTTTGGGGATTCCATTTGATGACAAATATTTTGTCCTTGTGTCCCCTGAAGTCAAAGATACATGAATAAGAGCTGTATAAAAAGATCTGCGTAGTAAAACAGTCTCCAAGATATCACCAACTGAGCTACGAAGCAAAACGTTGGGAGCGAGGTCAATTTTAGAGAGTTCATCTTTCCCATAAAGGAATCTGTTCACATTTTTTTTTTTTTTAAGAAATAAATTTCTTTACCTTGTTGTTGCTAATTTTTCTCCTTTTTTCCAGTCCCATACCACAATCACGTGGTTATCATCAAGTCCTACACTCGCTAATTTCTTCCCGTCACCTTAAAAATAAATTCAAAATGTTTTCAGAATGCTCAATCAGATTAGAAAAGAGAACATCCTCGTAAATGTCTTACCTGAAAAGTCGACAGCACAGACCCCTCTCTCATGTTGCCCCTTTAGAATGGCCAAGGTCTCCATCTTCACAGCATCCCATACGTGGATAGCGGGGTCGCGTCCCACCTGAGATTAAGAAATAATCCCGCTTATGTAAAAAAAAAATAACCTCTTAGTTTCGTCGCGTCAACACTGCACAGGCTTAAATTCAGGTTGCTTAGGGTGAGACATTTTTTTCAGAAGTCAATGACATAAAATATATTTCAAGTTCTACCAAAGAATCTTAATTGCATATTTCTTTTCCTATTTTTCTACTCCCGCTAATACACAAGACAGCGATAAATGCCATTTCAGGAACGGAGCGCGGAAATTCTGTGCCGGACTGTGACCCGCCCCCCTTGAATAATCTTGGCCATGCCCCTGCAGAGGCTACCTCAAACTTGGTGGATCAAGTTTGTCATTTGCCATCTGTTCAGCCCTCTCAACCCTAAATGATCCTATGAAGATAACGTTAAGATCGCAAATGGCTTCACTTGAGCATGCACTTGTATTAGAGCCCCCTACCCACCCCCACATGGTCTCAAAACGCTCAGCGTCTCTGAGGTTTCCCTCAGATATCGCAACACGGTGAGCCAATCAGAGCGTAACCCTGGCCTTTCGACCCAAGCCCCCACGCATTAAAAATTACAACACCATGTCATCCTTTGAATTTGTGGCGAACGGACTCAAAGTAATTTCGAACGCACCTGCCCGGTCGCCACCACGTCTCTCACAGGGTGTATACACAGGCAGAGGATGTCGTCTGTGTGCGCATTATAAAACCTCTGCTTATGATCGTCACGGTTGTACACAATCCCAAGAGCAGCCACGTGGTACACAATCTCACCGCTCTGAGTGTAGAACAGATTATTACGGCAGTCATACCCTCGGTAACTGAGAAGAAAATAGAATAAAACTATAAGTCAACGGATAAGTTTGAACATTACTTGATTGAAGGTGAGATATCCAATCCTAAAGCAAAGATATTGACAACGGATAACGCTTTCTACATGGAAGGAGCCTAAAAAGTCGGAAAGAACTCCTTAAAGACTTGTCTGTAGTAAATTCTAACCCTTAGCCACGTAAGATTCCCAATTCCCCAAACTATGAGCGATACACTTCCTTCCGCATCTGACACGAGAATTTGATTCTACATCAAAACAACGACTTCAGAGTAATAACTTCTCTCAACAAGTCGAAACATCGTGATCAATACACTTGACAGCCTGACTCTACATCGTAAGACAAAAGATTGAATGATATGTAAGTTTGGGTAAGAAACTTACTTTAAGTCTACAGAAAATGTATCCTTTTTTCGCGTTTTTTAAGCGAGAGAAGGCATACGCGAGGACTCGCGCGTGTCTCACCCTTCACACGTACCTCGCACGTACTTCGAGCTACCTTCTACTCACCTGTAAAAAGGCAAAAGAAAAATACGCCTTTACTGTAGGCTTAAAAACCGTCTCTTACCCGAACACAAACTCCAATCTCAAGCCCTGACTGGGAGGCCTCTGTCGGGGTACACTGTCTTCCTTTTGCTGTTCTTCTTTCGAGAGCTTCAATCTTTCTTTCAAGGCTGGTAAGTCCTCACGATACAGTGTTCTGCCATAGTCAATTTGACGTTCCTGAAATGGAGCAGTAATTGAACTTAGCTTCTGGCGAGGAATGAGTTGGATACAAGACAGTATAGCCACTAAACAGGTGGCTATATACAATAGGGTACTAGTTCGGACGTCTCCACCCGATTGCGAACGATTTTGTGCGACTTCGCAAGGAACCTGACTGCAGACGTTTCTGTCTGACTTCTAACAACTCCATTTAATTGCTGACGGTTCCACATAATACTGCACGTTTCTGTCAAGTTTTGAACAAACGTTTCAGATATAAAATTCGTATGAACTAGACCAAACATCCCTGAGACCAAAAATATAAAATAGCAGACAGCAATGCTTTGCAAAAATTTCAAAACTCATCGTCAGCTTACATTTTCAATATCACTGTCAAGTTCATCAGCATCAGATGCTTCCGAGTCACTCTCGTCACTGTGAGATTCTAAATACGCTCCTCCATCCACGTCATCGCCATCGTCACGTGACCCGTCAGGCAAGTAACGCCACTGAAAGATTGCGTGATCCCCACCGCCAACACTCATCACTCTCATCATGTCATGTGAAAATCGCACGTTTGTCACGTGTGCAGAATGTCCAACATACTTCCTAAATTTAGCACCTACAAAGTCGTTGGATTCTATCACTTAGAAAGTCTACTTAAATTCATAATCTAGACGCCTTTATACTTGAAATAACAGATATCAAAGTTACGCTACAGTCAAGTCGTGGATAAACAGTGCAGAAAATAGTAAGAATGTAAAGCCATTGTACTAAAAGCGAATGATCCAGAGCTTCCAAGAAACAGAATTGAGCCGCAATCCCCACAAGAGTCCTCCCCAATCGATCCGCCATATTTAATAAGAATTAGATTATGCTCTTCCCAGACTTCTAAGGCCGTGCTAACGCCACGAAATTTGCATATTCCCGCATAACTAGTTCCTATGCTACGCATATCCACAAGTAAAGACGTTAAAAATAAGGGTCTTTCTTATTTCTTTCGAATCACTTCACTTTAAAATGAGAGGCAATAATAAATAACGCCCACAAGCACAACGAAATGGCATTAATCACCATTTAAGTCCAATATCACCCTGACGCATCCTTTGATCCCACGCAAGCTCTCCACGAGACAAGCCGGATGATGACGCAAGCCATCAAGGGGCCTAGACACCAACACCACCCTCGTACACGTGCCGTAACGCCTGTCATGTCCTACTCAAAGGCCATACACTTTAAAAATTAGTACACTCATTTGGAAGCTCACCTTTTTTTAGACAAGGAAATCTAAAGAGCTTTACAAGACCAAAGTCGTCTCCAGTAACCAAGACCTCATTCTGGAAGCTGGCATCACAAGCATTAACATCGTTTGTATCTGTGTATTTCTCCCAGATTCCATTCACTTCCACTCCCAGAACACCAGTAAATGTAGCCCAGTGAATTGCCTTCACTTCGTCTTTATTTGCGATACGCTTGCCACCTTAAAAAAAAGAAAACAAAATGAAAACAAAATGAAAACAAAAACACAATTTAGATCAGAAGTACATCATTTTTGTGACCTGTTCCTCACTGCGACTCGCTTGATAAATTAATTCTAAAAGAGAACCAAAACGAAACTATCATTGAAAATAGGGGGTAAGTTTCTAAAGAAACTGTGATGCTGCGTCGGTAGGAGAGTATAGCAGGTAATTCAGTGTTAACAACTGAGTTGAAAACGTAAATTGGCCACCGTAAAGGGTAAATAAACTGACGTTTCGAGCGCTAGCCCTTCGTCAATCGCTCTGACGAAGGGCTAACGCTCGAAACGCCAGCTTTTTTACCCTTTACGGTGGCCAATTCACGTTTTCAACTCAGTTGTTAGCAATAAATTACCTGCTACCATTGAAAAGACTTGAACAAATATTCACTCCTTTAGATATATTCCTTTGAAACCAAAGTTTATAAAGTGGCATTAATAAACTAAATATAATATATTAATGATGCGGGTCTTTTGACCTTTTTTCCTCTCCCCCCTCCTTGCCCCATCTTGTGCAGTCATGAAAAATGACAACAGCTAACTACATCACATTAAAATACATGTGGTCTGTTTACTAAATAAATAGACTGTCAGGATAGAGCATAAACCAGTTTTGCATACATGCAAACATGTATGACCCACAAGCGTCACATTTTCTCACCTCCAACACTACGGCATGGATGGATTCAAAATCTTTTGCAAGTCACCCTAAGGTGCTGTTAGAATTTATTGCTCTTATACCATTTAAACCCCCTGGGTCAGTGACATCACCAGTCTCCAACAGCGACCACTTAGTTTGAATATCAATTGCTCGAAGCACAATTACACAAACGAGTCTCCCACACTTGGTTGATCTCAACTCAATCAATAAAAGCTACAAAAAAGCAATACAATAGGGGCTCTTGCATGATACACTCACTTGGCATCTTGAAGAACAACCTCTCACTGGCACCAGAGTTGGTTTGCAAGTATTTGCTGTCCATAGACCAGTCTAAATGTGTGATAAAACTAGAGCTGCCTTTGCACTCTCCAACTTTTTTGTAACGCTGCGCGACAGAGTAGACATCCACAAAGTTGTCATTAGATCCCACCGCCAGATGTTGTCCATCAGGAGAGTACTTCAATTCATGGATGACTTCTTTGCGGTCTTTTATATGAGTTACTTCTGAAAGATCCCTTCGAAAAAGAAAAAAAATATGCCACTGTTGATCATCATTATGTAACAAAACATTACTGCAGGGGGACTAGGAGTGTGACAAGTTCATCTCAGAAATTGCCCAAATCCATTTCTAAACTTTTACTGGGTAGATTTGGGAGTGGAAAGTGACAATCAGTGTGCTCATTGGGAAAAGTCAACTTCACTAGACTTTTGTAACATGTGGCTAGAGGACCAACAGGATGTCTGTCACCACAGATATCCAATCAGTGAATTCTCAAACAGGATTACTTTGTCTTTCCTTTTACAAAATTGTTTTCATCAAAACACACTTATCTTCAAACTATACACCTACAAGAAGAGAATTGAGGTTGACCTTAATGAAACATATCTGAAAACAAACTTGATTAAGGTAACACTAACTCTAGATCTATCAAATTAATTTATTTTACTGTATTAATCCCAAGGCTTAAAGGTGGAGCCTTCTCATCCCCTCTAAGTCTCTTGCCTATAACAGCACTCCAGCCTAGTCCTTCCAATACACAGTTCACCAACCATACCACCTGACCACCATGCTATCCACCCTCCTTTAGAGGTCGACCACTGGTAAGCAGCTTTTGCTGAAACTTCTGCCTCAGATGAATGTCACAAAATCATTTACTCATGAATCTTTCGCTTGGTGAAACCTAGAAAACCTGGACTTCCTCTGGGTATAAATATAATACTCTGGTCACTAAAACTGCAAATTCAGGATAAATACCTTGCTTTTAGAACCATGAATGACCCATCACCAAGCCCTGCAGCCAGATGGCTGCCATCAGCATTGAAACCCAATGAACGCACTTTCTGATCCAAATCTGTTCTAGCCAGAAGAGTCATATCTGACATGCTCCATAACCTGCCAATTTAGAAAATATACTTAAATCAGCAAATCAGTTGCTTTTTCAAATTTGGGGTCAGAGAGAGAGGAGCTCAATCAAAAGGGGGTACTTTACTTAGGTTGAACCACATTTTCATTACAACTTCTGCGCACAAACAACCACAGTTGTGGTTTATTAGTAGACACAAATGATCATTATCAACTTTGATATAACTATCAAAAAACTCTAAACTACCTTCTTAGTAAACAATACTTATACCTAACACTTCTGTCATCACTGCCTGTAGCAAACATTGGCTTCTTTGGGTGCACAGCCAAAGCCCACAGTTCTCCTTCAGCATGACCCTAACATAGGAGAACAAAGTCTGAATCTGTAATGATTTAAAGGCATGGAGGAAAGACATTCTCACTGATATTTTAATACCTACCTGCACAATGGTTTTTGGTTTATCCTTTTCTGTAGCAATAACTTCAAATACTTCACCAGCATTTGTACCAACAAGAATTTTTTCACCCATCCAGAATGCACTTCGCACAGACAAACCTGAACATTTGGAAACATTTAAAACAAAACCTTTAATCACACTGTTAGAAAAGCCCCCTTCCTTAATTTGATCTCCTTTCTAGTAACACCTAATCATCCTCATCGTTCTCCTTGCATAAGTTTTGCAAATTAAAAATTGCATTTAGCTCTTGGTGAGATTTAAATGAGCCTCTACCTCTGGTGACCCTCCTTCTCTTACAGGCCCTCTGTCTTTAATAAGCCTCTCTCTCTTATAAACCATATCACTAACACCCTCTCCATCTACAACTTCTAGTCCCACTGAAGTGTTTGTGACGCTTTCAGTGTCTCTTAACTCTTTATAGCAACATTTAACACTTTCTATAGTCACTGGTTAATAATTGACAAAGTTGAAAATATACATCACAATTCTTATTCAATTCTTTTTAGACAAACAGCCCACTTAACCTCGTACAACCTAATATCAGTATGCATATTCTTCATACTTTTCTCGATACATTATCTAATGTGCTGACAAGCAGAATTTGTTCAGTCAGGGATCATATCCTTTATCCTGATGACCATAATGTGTGATTCAAGGGTGATGTTGTGAGCAAAAATTACAAGCTAGTCACTCTTAGGGGTCAAAGCATTTATATTTAACTTTATTGCATGCAGAGGAATCTTGAAAAACATTTTTAACATTGCATCACCTTCATAGCCAACAGGAGTGTTGATCATCTCTAGTTTTGTGATTGGTTTAAAACTGTTGTCCCACAGAATAACAGTTCCATCTTTGGATCCTGTTGCATATCCATCATTGTTTCCATGCATCGTAAATATTGCTCCCTACAATGAAAACAAAATGGAAATTGGCCGGAAGTTTCTCTTGCTTGAAATTAAATGAATACAAGTGAACTGGAAGTGAAACCTGAGGAAGCACTGGGGATAACCTAATGACTTAACATCCCATCCAAGACCTGAAGTGATAGTCCTAGTAACACAACAGAAACCTGAAAGAGTTGAAGGTTATCTGGTGAATAACCTTCAGCTGTGTCAAATGCAGCTAGACTTCTCCTCAATTGTCATTTGATCTTTTATTGCATTTCCCTTTGTTTCCTTAGAGTTACACACAACATACTTTTGCCACCACTGCTTATAACAAAATGTTATATGCAAAATGTGCAGTGTATGGCTTGGCTCCCTTTGAAGTTCTCTATAGCTCAGCCGAAGTGAATCACATTACAAAACCAAAAGTCTGCAGTGCAATTCTTGGGAACCCAGATCCTTTTTTGCTTTTGGTGTTATACTCAAAGAAAACCAAAAAGAGGAGGAAAATCACAATTTGCCATCGATCTTAATCCATCACAAAGTACATAACCCAGAAGCTTACATTATGTGCATTTGGAATAGTTCCAGACAAGTTGTGACCTTTCCATTTGTAGATCTCTCCGCTCAGAGTGCCAGAGTATGTTACATCATTAGGACCAAATGCTAAACACAGATTTGTTTGAATCTCCCCAGCTTTACCAAAGACTCCTGAAAGAATATTCAATTAAACACTGTTAACATGGAGCAGAGTCACCACATCTACACAAGCACAAAACCACCCACAAAACAGTTGTTATTTTTATTTTAAAAAAATTCAACCTTTTTTAGGATTAAGAGCATTTCCACACAAGGTCCAAAACTTGATATGTTTCACACCACAGCTCACCAGCAAGTTTTCTTGGTAAGGGTTAAACTGAATGTCAAAGATCTGCAAACCAGAGAACAAGAAAATAACAATTATCACCTGTGATGAAGTAGTACCCCACCCTAGGGAATAGATATTAACAAAGCATGCATTAAATAGATATTTATGATAGATATTTATTAGTGAGGGTCAAAATGCCAAGTTGGCTATAGTCATCTCTTATCCAACAAGTGTGAGTGGAGTAATTGGTCTATTAAAGTGCCCCAAAATATACGTGTAGATAAATCTTCCCCACTTATTTTTGTAAGAGCAAATGGAATAAAGATGTTTTTTGTCTTGTCATGCATATGGAACAAAAAAAAATTCTGAGTCCCCATGAGGAATTGAACCTCAGACCTTCAGATTCCATACTCCGATGTTCTACCCCTGAGCCACAGAAACTCAACAGTGAGCAAGGTCTATCACCAAGTTCATATGACACGTGTCCTACATACTGGTGGGATCAGCAATGTCCATAGCATCATGGGGAATTTTTTCCTTTGTCCCACACTTGTGACAAGATGAAAAAGATCTTTCTCTATTTTTTTACCAAGCTCAAAACTTACCATCTCTCTTATTCTACTAACAATAAATGGAATGTTACAATGACTAAAACAATTACACTTTAACTTGTCTTCATCCATACACATGGTATACTGGCACAACCCATGTTGGCTAAGCTATCGAAAACTCTAAGCTGATGAAAACTCTACTTTATAATCAAAAGCAAAACTTCACTACTCATCAAAGACATTGGGACAAACTTTGACAATAATTATGGGTTTTTTTGTCATAATATGTGCAAGACCTGAACTGTTTTCACTGGTAAAAATTGATTACATCTTCTTACTCGATCAGTGTGTCCTCTGACAGATGCCAAGGATCTCCCCTTTCTCCAGTCCCAAACAGCTATCAGGTGGTAGTCTTCTAAACCCACTGACACAAGAAGCTGTTCAAATGAGCAATTAAAGCATATTAAAGACAAACATTGGAATAAGCAACAGCTTGTAGCATATCTGTCTTCTTGTCCATAGTATAATTATTGATACTTAGTTTATACAAGACTGTGAGCTGTGAAAATTAATAATTGTGCAAGGTAATAACACTATATGCCAAGAATGCAGAAATGTGTCTTTTCTATCCAATGCATATCAGCATTGCCTGTACAGTGTAACTTAACCATACAAGCAGTTTTATAAGCATCAGAGTTCAACTTATGACCACCCTTGAAAAACCTACTTCGAACTTCTATACAAACTTTGTATTTAGTGTACTTTCCCAATACATATATTGAGCAGCCTCCAACACTTTCAGTGTTTATGATACAAATATTTCAATTTTATAGCAGCTCCACTTAGTGAACACAAAATGAAAGAAAATCTCCCCATATTCTGAATCATATTTTTATCAGTCAGCTTTACATTGGTATTTACCACAGGCAATTTTATAGTGAACTGAGTGTCTGTTTTGTTTTCAAATATAACCAGTTACACTTAAAAACACCACTTGTGCAAGCAAGCTCTTATGCAGTTACCCAACCTCTGTGAATCACAGAATGGCACACATATTGCTAGGTCTTATATAAGAAATCAGCTAGAGCTTCAGATACCTTTTTAGCATCTACAGTGTGCCCCCTTGTGTGAACCTCCTCTAACAAGAATTACCTAACCCTTTAATCTCTTAGAATGACTAGCATCTAATTTCTCCCTACAATATCACCCCTGGGTTACACATTAAGGTCATAAGAACAAAGGAAATGATCACCAACAAAAGGAAGGGTTAAAGAAAAATACCAGTTGACTTACTGTGCCAGTATTGTTGAACGCTAAACAGGTAACTCCTCGTTGATGAGCATCCTTCAATATGGAAACTGTCTGACATGTTTTTGAATCCCAAACACAGACATATGGGTCCTTGCCGACCTGTCCAGTTGCTACCAATTGTCTCTCAGGATGTAATGCCAAACTGTCAACAAAAACAAAAAATTCCTCAATATTTATGTGCAAAAGAAAAAGTCTGCACTTGAACCAAGATGCCCGTGTAGTAGGAGTTCCACCCAATTTCTGAAACACGAAGTGAAAAGCAGTATTGTGCAAAGTTTTTAATTAGGTGGTCCTCATCAATTTTCCGTTGCCACATGGCAGAGGGTCTAATTTGAATATTAACAATATGGGTAAAACACATTTGGCACATTTACTGCCATTCTAATGGATATCAAATGATAACAAATAACAAACTTCAGTCAAGCTTGTATTTCAAAGTCAGGGAGGTATTTCAATTTTTTTCCATGCTTCAATTTTAAGTTTACGGTTTTTTCCTATATACATGTATGGGGGCAATATTGTAGAAAAATCAGCTACTATTAAATCAGGACCTAACAGCAATATAATTACAGTTCAAAACGTGTCTTTTCAGACACAGCATGTTATTTGAAGTTAATTTCAAAATGTCACACTACTTTCCAAGCTTAAGTATTTAATAGACAATGTCGTTCTTTAGTCATGTCTCTCTCACTTCCTAAATAATCAAGTAATATTTTTGGTAGTTGGCCCATCCATTTGAAAACAGTCTTCCGATGACAAACAATCTAAATGTACAAAAAACGCACGCCAGAAGCTTCGAGTTTGACAAAATTTACATATAGACACTTTGAATTGTAAATTCGTCTGCTTACTAGAAAATCAATAATTGAGCATTTTATTGATTGCGCGCTTTAAATATTCAAACAAAAATATAGGGTGTGACAGTTCCGCTGCTACATTTTCTAGAGCGTAAACGCACGAAAAAATTCGTCGAAGGAATAAAATTCAGTACTTGAAAACGCTGGAAAGTTTCTGAGATTTGGTCGTGATCGAAAGTCAATTTCCCAGTATGGAGTCATATGAAAATAATAAAATTTAAGTTCAACTTCGATTTCCTCACTAATTGATAAGGTGCTGTTCACAGATCACCCGGACCTTCAATGCAAAAACGGATGATAAAAGCAAAAAATAAGCTGGTTGTACAATTTAGGCTTCAACTTGTACCTTGAAATAAAAACCGAAATTAATAAATATTTCGCTTTGCATCACTGATCAAGCGCACGATCTGTTTGGCTTGGAAATATTTTCAACAATTATAGAAAATTCCCGAGATTTTGCTTATAGAAACCTTGGTTTAAAATTCAAAGCACAAAGAATCCATAACAAAACGAAATAAAACGAATTAATCGCGGTCAAAATCGAACAAGACTTGTAGGCAACTTGTACTCAATGGGTTCACACGGCAACACATGTCAACATACACACACGATATACATGTGTATGAATTATGCTCTAAGACTGCAAATACCTCAAGTAAATGTGTCTTTCACTACTGCTGTAAACGGAACACCGCACGGTATTCCCTTATAAAGTTAAACATCACAAACCTAATAATATCATCGTTGTGTCCGAGAAAGAATCGCTGAGAGTTTTCCCCAGTGTTATAAACCACACCGACTCCTGCCACGAAGTACACGATCTCTTTCGACGAGGTGTAGTAAAGATTGTTGCGGCATTGATGTCCTCTGTAACCGTATACCCATTCTAGTTTTAGCGACGAGCTCGGAGCAGTTCTATCTGTCATTTTATCACACAATGCTGCTAGACATTGCCATCCGTTCGCAACCAAACCACGCGCCAAAACTCCATTCTTGACTTCCTTTCCGCGTTACGGTGGCCTTTCTAGAACTTGATACTAAGGCGTATTTTGATTGGTCAATTGTAATATCAAAGTCAATTTCATTGGATGATCACAAAAACTAACAGACCTATCGTGACTCGAGGTCACTTGAATTTGAGATATCTTCATCTCTAAGATGAAAAGGCAGTCTGTGGACAAATAAACCAAATAACGCTAACCTTCATTGAACTGTACTCTGAGTCAACGTTCAGTCAAACCGAGGATTTAAAAAATAAAGTTGACTTCGTAAGGCCTTTTTCGGAGCACACAGTTCGAGGTTTAATCATAGAAAGCCTATACAGGCACTTAGTATCGTAAACTTCATAACAACAAACGAGGGTCTTGTCCCTTGTCTTCTCTGAGTTATGAAATAGCTTGAAATCGCTAATTTAGGACGTGTTAGTTGCAAACAACACATTAGGGAAGTAAATAGGCCACTATTTATTTTATGAATTTTTCGACTCTAAGTTCCTCTATCGCCTGTATTGGGCTTCCCGTGTTTTAAGGAGCAGGCAAGAAGTGGAATAATTTTTAGGGGTTTTCCTTGATAGGGCAGAATTTTTAGAGTACTTTGGTCCTAGAGGTCACGAATTCAAACCTTTGGCGCCAACCACTGTCCCAAATCCCCTAACATGGGCCCATCAACCCCCCCACCCCTTCAAACGCGCCAACTCCACACCCTGGGGAAGTTTAAGAAAATTGGACGAGAAAAAACGACGTTCAGAGTATTTATTAGAGTTCCAAAACAATTTTAGGTACCCTATTACCATGGAGCATCGCGATGGGCAAATTATAGGAAAGGGAATAGGTAAACTGCCTAGAGGACGGGAAAACATAACTAACTTGCAATTGGTATTGGGTTTAGATCTGATCTGATTAGCTGCGAGGGTGACGCGAATATTATTCGTCATCGATCTCGGTCTCGGAGCAAAATGATGGAAAGCATTGCAATCCCGGGTAAAATAACGGCTCAGAAAAGCTAGCTTTTGTAAATCAAAACAACTCATTTCCAAACAATATTACCTTGGAAGCTTGGGAATTCGAAATTTTAAGCAGCACAAAAAATATGAATTGAGAACCATGCTTTAAACCTAAATCTCGCAAAGAATATTGGAAATAAATAATTCGGTACTATTCCGTTTTCATACACTCTTACATCTACCGCATTTTTCGAGGTGTGGGCATAAAAGAAGCAAAATACGAATCATCGACCTCCCCTGGGAAAAAAACGTCCCTTTTCTTATTATTAACGATACGCATGTTTTGAATTAAGAACATAATTTAGTACGCACTGAAACGTAAAGTATCATCCATTTTTACTAGAACGTTAAGGATAATGTTTTCACTCAGTTTTTTGGGGGGTCCATATCCGCTAACGGATTTGGACCGGGGGGTCCAAATCTAGGGGCGGTCCAAATCCGCTGGGACACCGGGACAGCGCTGGGTTTCGATTGACTCGCATTTTGCGTTAATCTACGATGCGAAAAAATTTGAGATGATTTTTGTTTGTTAATTTTTTTGCTACATCGAATAGATAAGGGGACATTAATTAGGCTTGGTTTTCTTTTCTTTCTAATATAATAATCTATATTATACTATAATGATCATTACAAGCCTCTCCTGTCTTGAATTAAAAAATGTCTTAAGACAGGTTCAACCGACAATCCTTTTTTTTTTTCATGACTGTTATCGATATCTGGCATATTCAACTTTTACTGATACGTCTCGTAACATATAAGTGTACTTAACTGACATTAAATGACACTGATTTTTAACATACATAAAGCAGTTTAGAAAAATTTAACATGCAAGAACAACCTTTTCTCCTATCTATTACTTTTCTGTATCCGTTTTCTTAAAAATTTTCTAATTCAATTTGAATAGAGAAAACCGGAAAAGGTTTCGTTCAGGAAATACATAGAACTTCTTACAGAAAACCTTAGCTATCAAAATGTAAACCACGGTCACGTTATTAACCCTTGAACTCCCAAGAACTGATTGTAAATTCTCCCTTCTGGCTGCAACACATCTCCTTGTAAATTAATAAATTAATCACCTGATTGCTGGATAATGTATGGATATCATTGGAAGAAGTTACATGTTAATCACTTCCGGGAGTTAAAGAGTTAAAGCACCAACACAAATTACGATTTTGGATGACCCTGATATATTAATATGTAACTGAATGTTGATCGAGTAATACCGAACATGGCGGTACATCGAGGAGCTATTGCTTTCTCATGTAAATTGCTTCCTTTTTCATTCCCTTTTGCTAATGCGACTCCGCTGTTTTGAGGTGACAGTTGATGCTCAAAGGGTCGTGTCCAACTGGTGGAAAGGAAACATAAAGTTACCGAACATAATGAGTATTGTAGCTTGATAGAATTCCATCACTTCTTGCAGAACAAAGGAAAAGCCGCAAAAGCCATGGTTTTACACTGTTTGTGTATAAAAACTGCCAAACTTCCGACTAGTAGTAACACGATAAAACTTCTAAGAGACAGATGAGCATGTAAATGAAGGTAGGATGTCGATTGAAAAGGAATGAATCACTGGAAGAAGCCCTTCAAATACTACAGGGGTATAAGGGAATTATACCCAAGAAATTTTCCCGTGAATTTAATATAATGTAATGGTAATATGAAAGTGGGGCATGTGGAGTATAATGAACGAGCTAATTGAATCTTTACTTTCGGTTGTTTATACTAACAAAGATAGTTCGCAGGTTGAATGACCAGAAAAAAGTATTCATGACCAAAAGCAAATACACATAATCAAATGACTTCAATATGGATGTATATACTCATAACGTTTTAGACTGTTATCATTCGTACGAAGGAGAAAGTGTCTGATCGTCCCGCATACGGGACGAAGTAAAGCGCTTTTTATTCGATTCTACCGCTAAAACTAGTTTAGTTGTGTAAATTATCGGTTTTAGCACAAATTTTAAATATTCAATGTCCTCACAGAGATATCTGCTCGCGCTAGAAACCAATGGGTAGCAACATATGACGGCATAGTGACCTCTGTCTGTGTACCAAGGTCGTACTTGATTGTTCGGTGGTTCTGACGGTGTTTGTTTTTCTTCAAGTGTAGCTCACGGAATTCTGTCGTATTTGCATCATCTCTATCGACGTCTCCTCGAGATAGATTGAAACTCATTGCTCCACTCTCTTTTGCGCAGGCACTAATGGAAGGTTTTCCCATCATACCTGTTTGAAGCTGTGCTTTAAGCATGTTCTTTCCGACCATACCGCGAATTTCCCCTTGCAAATCATTGAGAGGAAGAACCAACGCCAAGCAACAGGAAAAGGACCACTGCGGGTTCTTACGCCACTCTTTTAAATACTGATGTAAGTACACAAAGTATTGAACTGATAGTAAAGAAAATAAAATTCAAATCATAAGAAGTTTTTCTGGCAATTTTTTTTTCTGGTAATAAAGGTTTTTCAGCTCAGCAGCATTTCACCGAAGTAATTCACGTCCCATAGGTCAATCCACCCCCAAAATATTAGGGTATACAAATAATCACTCTCTAAACTGCTAAATCTCCTCGTGTGAGCCAAAAAAATTAGCAGGCAATTAATGGCGTTTTCCCTTTCCCCGCTTCTCCTTCTGCCAACAGATCATTCTTGCCAACAGCAAAAATAATTTTTTTTTTAATATGAAGCACTAAAGTAACCTATCGTGTGATTTCTGCACAGAATTCCTATCAGATTAAAGCCATCAATAATTTCAGACTGTTCCAGTTTACATTTTAAGAAGTTATTTAAGATATTAGAACGAAGCAAGGCTTACTCCTTGCGTTAGCATAAATTTAACCCTATAAAGTTAATTATATATCTTCCGTTCATAACTTTCCTCGCAAAGCCAAATACAAAAGAACACATACTGATAATTCCAAGCGTGTCGAAATACTTTGATCGGAAAGCATAGTCGTGAATGGCAAATTTAGCGTCCATGTGCAGGTTTGAAAAAGCAAGAAGCAAGAGTCAGCTTGATTTAAGTATTTTGCTCAAATTTTTCAACAACAATTTATCAGTACTTACCAACAAGAAGGCAAATTACAAGAGTATTTGCACCAAGAATCAGTATCTTCATTGTTAAAGCATCCATGTCTTTATCCACTGCGTCAGATATATTCTCTGCTGGAATTTTGCTCACAGCACCGATACCCAAGTTGACAACTGTAACTGCAATGGAGGTCGTCATCAACCTGTTTTCGAATGGGTCCTGTATAGGTCTCATCCAGGAGAAATGAATTCCATACACACCAGCCACGACCCATGCCAGACCAATGTAGGACCTGCTTTCATGACCCACAAGAATAAGGCCAGATGTTAAAATCACTTTTCGAGACATTTCAATCAGCTCCCAGTACCACGTATGTGGTTTGTAGTTTTCGAAAAGAAATCGTAGTCCTTCAACAAGTTCCGTGCCAACGCCTGAACCGTCACCGTCTGCCGCGGTTGATATTGCTCGCCGATACCTCCAAAGGGCGATGAATGAAGCAACGGGTAGAGTTAAGATGTACGCAGTGGAAATGTATGCAACAATTAGCAGGTGGTTATATGTCGAGCCTTGGCATTTCACGCTGTAGTCTGCTTTGAGGTACTCGTTGCACAACTCTTCATTTTTGTCTCTGCAGACTTTACGACAAGCAAGTTGTAAAACGCTGGCTGTCTTGGAGAACGTACTCAGGTAAGTCACATAGAGGACAAAGAAGACATTTTTGTACACGACTTCTTTCATCTCTGAGATCTTGGCTGGTTTTTCTTCGTCCTCCAGGCTTTTATTTTGTAAGATGATTCTCTTACGAATACCGTAGAACACACCAGAAGCGCCAATGGCGATTGCATTAATTGACAAGATCACAAACAAGTCTCCAAATGCATTCGCGCGAAATCCTGGAAAAAGGCAGTGAGCAGGAGCTATATCAAGCAAATTTAGCTGTAGCACTTCTGAGTACTTTGCAACACCTTTTAACGAACTTGGCCAGCTGATATAGGAGAAAACGCCCAGTAAGCCGTGAGTGACTTGGTAAAAACCGATTAAAATCTTAAGTTTGGATAAGAATGTGTCCATAAGATTGTGACCATGGTCCATTGCAAGCTTCGCTTTCCTTTTCCATGTCAAAAGGGTAAATGTTATTAGGAAAATCGCAGCCACAAGAGACGATTGTCCCACGATCCACGATTTTGATGGGCATTTTTTGCAGCTGTGGAATTGCTTTTGGTATCCCGAGCTGCATACGGCGCATATTGGTCCCTCATATCCAGCTGCACATAATGAGTCCAATCCGCCCTCACAGGACTCTGGTACTTGGCACCTGTACGGTGTTGGAAGTGCATAAGGATACTGCACAGAATTTTCATCTAGTGCTGGTAAAGATGCATTGAGATTTTTTATAAAATCTCGATAACGAAGTTTGTAAGAATCGTTTCGCCACTGCCACCAATAACCAGGTTTCAAAGAGGCATATTCATCTTGGCAAACGATTCCATCTTTGCCACATTTGCGGCATCCCTCGAACAAATGGGTTCGATAATGACCCTCCAAGCATGGACAAGCTCGGTATCCAGCAAAATAGTCAGTCTCAGTTCCTATTAAAGGTAAAATGGTTGCTTTAGTGTTTATGTTTTCGTTCTCGTTTGAGAGCTTACCTTAGTAAAGGGTTGAACTAAAGGCACAACGTAACACAAATTCATAACCAAATGGCTTTCGAAACTATGCGACCTTTAAGTCATTTCTTAAAGCTAAACTTTTCATCCCACCTTCTCCCCATATTCTATAGTCAACTTTGATTTTTTAATTTTCCTTTTGGCCTTTTTGAGCCACATCTTACGAACATTTGATCGTCAGCGGGTAGTTTACACATTCTCATGATAGAACTGGCTTTGATTGGAGCGTTATCTCACCCAGTTATCATCGAATTAGTGTATGACTTACACCAACCCAGTAAACTTTTATCAGGAAGAAATATTGGGGTAGCAAGTGAAAAGGTTTTACGTAAGCTCATCTCTTATTTGAGCTTGTCCGCCTTTTGACGCTTGAGACGATTTCAAAATCTCGGAAAGGCTACAATTTGTAACTTTTAAAGTTTACCTCAGAGAACTTAGGTAAGAAAAGGTAAGAAATCGGCAGTTAGAGCTGACCTTGAGGACACGACTTGCAATTTGATACTGATTTTCCAGGTTTCTTGTCATATGCAACGTAAGAACCGTTTGGACATTTCTTACAACCTTTACCTACGAAAGCAAGGCTATCGGAGTAAAAGCCACCTGAAAAGAGAAGATCAGAAGAGTCATGGCTCTGACGTCCATCATCTGAGTCAGGAGTCCAATTGTCTTCTGAGTTATTGTCTGAATTCTAAAGCATTTCTTGCAAACCAGCCGTGTTATGTGAGCATCTTTGTGTTGTTGTTTATTTGCTGTCTTTCCATTTTTCTGTCTATATCTCGTCCCATTTCTCATTTTGATTTTATTAGAGATTCCCAGGTCAAAAATTTAATTGGTATTAGATGTAAATGGCATTTTGCGATGTTTGCCGGGACGTAGGCTCAGATAAACTTTTACGCCGGTATAATTTCGGGCATAATGCTAAAGTCACGGCATCGAGCATAATGACTAAAAGTCTTGAGCACAGACGCGTTAAATTGCGTTTCTACCACACTTATAATGATTGCACTACTCTTTGACTTTTTTTTTTGAAGAGTTCTAAAACACCCTTACCTTTAGTTAATAAATGGAGTATAATGCAAAATCATCAGCAAATTTTTGGGCATAATGATATGTTTTAAGGTGTGACGCTCAGAAGCATAAATCCCAAATTTTCGAGCATAACATATCTGACCCTACTTGTCAGTCTATAAATATATGTTAGTTCCCTTCTTTTAACAAGATATTAGTATAATAAATACTTGTATTTTCAATTACTTTTGGGTGCCTACATTTGGGCTGAGTCAGTTTTGAAGGCTAGCTGCGTTAAGACACTCTAAAATGATGTCAGGCCATGGGGAGAATTGCATATCATCATGGCCCAGACTGCCGAGTTAATAAAGAAACCTTTTTTCGGAATTCCAGCAGTCTCGATTATTCTCTCTGGAATCAAGTACAACATACCTGGAGGACAATCTATGCATATTTCCACATTTGGTTCTAAAGTCAACAAGGTATAGTTTGAAAATGTTCCCAACGGACAGGGTAAAAATATGTTGTAGTTACTGTGAGTCGTTTTTCTGAATCCGAGACGATTCAGAGCCACTATCAACATCCCCTCCTCAGAGGAGGGACTACCGTGAGTTAAGGGGACTTTGATGGCTTCTCCATGTGATTCCAGAGGATTCCTGAGCAAAAGGGAATGTCAAATTGAATGAATCATAGGTTTGACACAGGAGGAGGCGAATATGTTGTCTCGTTAAGAGTATATCAACCTATTTCAAAATTTAAGATATAGAGTTTAGGCTGCTCCTTTTAATAGTGGGTGGCCGGAAAAATTGTAATAAAAATTGTAATAAACTATTCTAGTCAAGGCGCTTTAGAGTCAGTCACTCATTTTCTTTGAAAGTTATTTTGATTTTATGATAAGAATTTTTAGCCTCTGTATCTGCAAATTGGTGATATGACAGTATTCTTGAGGTTTGTGAGACTTAAAGTGAGCCACGAAGCTCAGCTGGTGAGGCAAGTTCAAAATCTTCATCGTTGGCACCCAACAGAACTTTCAGCGAATCTTAAATATGACTGGTGGTAAAGAAACTATGACCTCTTACCAAAACGTAGCATAACTACAGATTTATCATTGCTGCAAGGAGGATTTGGAAAGACAAGGAACGGCCGACCCTTTTTCACTTTTCCAAATATCTCGAATTAGTATACAGTATAAAGTTTTGTGACTTAAATAAATTCAGATATCATAACAATTGTTATTGGCCAACTGCACAAATTAAAGAAGGGTACAAATAACGTGCGAATAGAGCACAGTTATCCTGCGATATTGTACGGTTATTTAGTCAGTTGGTTATTTTGTACTGTAAAAAAACCTGTTTAACCAGTCATCTACGCGCGTTACGATTCTCTATTCGCTTTACTTTTCACGCCTTATGGGAAATGAACAGAAAGACTCAGAGGAAAAAAAAGGAGTTGGATAATAAATAACTTATTAGACGTTTTGGTGTGTAGCATCGCTGGGTATTTTTGCTCGTCAAAATGCGGCACAACTCGTTAAAATACTCATTGATACCACGCACCAAAACTTCTAATAAGATATATATATATATATATATTTCATGGTTAAAAAATATTTTTAACGAAACATTGCCCCACTCAATAGAAGCACATAAGATATCCTGCACTAATTCATACTGACAGATACAGGGAGTAGTTCCCGCCTGACGGGTAATTGTAATAAATCACTCTCGCTATTCTGTTACGCGAAATTCTGCAATGACAACACAATCGCCTTCATTATCACCGATCAGCCTATTATCTATCACAGTGCAGAAAAAAGTCGGAGGGTAAAAATGGTTCTTAAATGGAGGCTATTACGAGAAAAACACGAATAAACCGTTCTCGATGTTCACTGTTAGCTAAAGATCACAATGCATTACTTCGTTGGGAATAAAACATTTCCACGAAACAATTTGTTTGTGAAGTGGCCTCTTAAAAATGTCATTACATTTTCCTGTCTCTCGTCTTTTTCGTCTAACCAAAAAAATTGGAAAAACGAGTGGCAGACAAGTGTTTCCTCATTTCTTGATAACTTTTTGTGTCTTTTGTCACTTTTTGTCTCTGTGTATCACTGGAAGTCTAAATTGGGGAGGAACATCCATCAAAACCACTTTCTACCTCTAGATTAAGCTAGATACTGAGCTAGCCGAGTCGAACGCTTATCTTTTGCGATCGCATTATCACGACTCTAATCTATTAAAATAAACTGAAAATCTATCTATTTAAAAAAGACAATTTACATTCGAAAATCTTGGTTATGGGTACTTGGAAAGGACTCAGACGTCAGCGTTTTCAACCTCGTTCGTAGAAGAAATCTGTCATAATAAAAAAATTCCAGTTTGTAATCTTGCAGGCAGTATGCGGAACGAGAACACTTGCAGGTTATTTCACAGCTTTATGTATTAGCTAACCTCATAAGTGTCCTTTTGCCAAAAAAATGATGCAATGAGAAATTTAGGGATGAGAATTTGAAAACAGGTTAAATACGGCGGGCAAGCTGCAGAAGAAATGACACATAGATCTGGATGAAATATTCGAGGTTCTAAATTGTTCCCTGAGTGACAAATGAACTAAACTTTTTTTTGACTAAAGCTCGTTCTACACAAATAAGCAAACGAACAAAAGATGAACCGGGGAAGTCAAGACTAAGATAAACCTGAAAGATTCCTTCTGTTCTCAAATAATCGCAGTTAGCGCCCTTAGGATAAAAATAATTCCAACTTACATTTTAAGTTGGGGGGCATTGAGAGCAAATGCCTCTGGTTCAATTACCTCTATAGGATTATCAGACAGTGTTCTGGAATAAAATAGTTACAATAATTAACGTTTTATGGAGCCGTAAGAAGAAAACTCTTATCATGTGCTCAAAAAGGTATACCGTACCCTATTGGTCAATGACGAATGCGTAAATACAAGAAGGCGATAGAGAGAGATGCGCGATTTCCCTTTTAACTCGGACGAAACTTAAATTTTTGTGAGAAAGGAATGTTTTAAATCTTAAAGAGCACGCAAATTATATCAGGCTTTCTTTGTTTGCCATGGCATGCAAATGTACTGTTATCTGCTATTATTTCATTATGCAATCTCTGTGTTTAGGAATAACTTTACTAAACATATAGTTGATTTTGAAAAAAAAATCACAAATAGGGCCAACATTTAGGACTATCTAAATCTCGGTGTGCACTAACAGCAAGAATAAGTAAGGTCTGTTGTAGAAGGCTCGATAAGGAATACGCCTCAAGCGATTATTATCCAGTGATCTGAAGCAAAAGAGAATAATTTAGTTCCTCAGTTGAGTTGATAATGTAAATTGGCCGACGTAAAGAGTTTCAATGCTGTGAAACTCTTAACGGTGGCCAATTTACGTAATCAATTTAGCTCGTAGGACCAAATTATCTTGTTATACTCCTCCACCGATGCAGCACCACAGTTTCTTTACAAACTTATCCCCTTGGAATCAAATAGCTTTGAAAGTAGTGATAATGAAAGAATCGGGGAATTTTAATGGTTCAGTAAGTACCCCTTAAAAACTCTGAGTGAAGTAAGCAGCTGAACTTCATTAAATGTATTAGTCATACGTTTAGTCATTCCACTTGTTGCTATTATCCCATATTTGGATTCCAGATGGTAAACATCATCCATTTGAAGGAAAAGGTGAATCAATCAAAATATATGAAGGCGACAAACCATTCAGTTACAAGGACTTGTTTTCGAGTTTTCTAGTCAATGTCCATGTTGATGTATTATAGAAAAGAACTCATTCCACAACGGCCCTGATTTCCAAATTGTTGTGGCTCGATCAAAAAGCCGGCACATGTCGGATCATTTGATTGTTTTGCCGTTATAAAGGTGAAAAGTAGCATTGCCCTCAGGTCGAGCTAATTAGATTTGGAATGTGTTTAGTATAAAAATGTATTTAGCAAGCATTCACAGAAGCAAAAAAACGTGCAGCATTTATTAAGACAATTAGTCTACTTGCACTTATTGGATATGATATTGCTTCCAGCCCAAGTCGGCGCTGAGCACCTCTTTGGCTATTTATTGTCCCGCATCCAGCGCATGAATCTGAATTAATTGTTAAATAAGGTTTTAATGATTTATAAAATCACGTTATTCCTAGCTTTAGCAGAACCAAGTTTACGTTAGATTGGTAATCTCTTTTCTCACCTATGACATTATCTTTATTTTATATATTTTCATTGACTTAGTACCCAAGATCAATTGAATAAATATTTTAATATTAAAGAAAAAAATGGTAGATGTATTTATAACATAACCCCACTGACAGTGCAGCTACTTGTCTGGAAAAGCCGTTTTTTGGTAAAGAGGTGATGAGGTTTGATGAGAGATATCTGTAAAAAAATAACAAAAGATATATATAGACATATATAACAAATAGATGCAAGGTTGCAGTTAGTCGTTTGTATGGTAACAGATCCCATTTGTTTAACGAACCGTGGTCCTCTCTCGAAATATGGGAAACTTCCTTCCCAAAGGGTAATTTAGTACTATCAACTGAGTTGACGTTTCGAGCGTTAGCCCTTCGCAATCTTTTTTTTTTTTTTTTTAATATTTAATCCCCGCTTATAATTTAAGCGGGGAAAATACAATTTGGTCCTCTAGTGCAGTTTTGCGCGCGCGATGGCAGGACCTACTCAATTTTTTTTTTGTCCATCCTACCCTCAGTTTTTGTTTGAGGGATAACGTAAATTGACCACTGTATAGAGTTTAAAAGCTGACGTCTCGAGCGTTGGCCCTTCTTCCCAATCGCTCTGACGAGGGGCTGGCACTCCAGCGCCAGTAAGCTGGCACTCATTCATGCACATGGCTGGAGAACACAACACACCAACCCGTCAGGTCTCGAGTCCATACCGCCTGATCCAGATTCCAGCGCACCAAACGTTAGGCCATCACCCTCCTCCAGTCACCGACTGAGTATAATAGAGTGGGTTAAAACAATTCTAATCACTAATATTCGGGTATCCCAAGTATGATTGTTGTTACTTACTTCGCAGTCAAGTTTGTATCGACAAACAAATCAGCAGGTAAAGAGGCCAAACGATTTGAATACAAAAACCTGTAAGAAAACATGGTCTGGCGTTTACTTTCTATTTGAGGTTAACAGAGGCAAGTGAATTAATGTACTTTGATAACCTTGGCTGCCTGTTGTCACTTACAGCATATATAGATTTTTCAAACCTAAAAATGCGTTTGTGGATAAAGAGACAATTTTGTTGGAGGACAAATCCCTAAGAAAAAGAGGGAGAATTAAATAATCAGTAGTTAAAAGAAAAGTGAAGAATAGACATTCAAGACGAGATGGTGAATTAATAACTTTTAGGGTGAAAGTATAGAAAAAGACAGCAAATGGACTTTTTAAAGTCAATTTCGCCTCGCATTCAGCTCGCTGTAAACTTTGTTTTAGCCGTGATCACTTGAGTTAAAATTTAAATTAAGACAGATATCAATATAGTTGAGTATCTTAAATGTCCGTTATTTCTTACAGCCAATTCAGCTCTTGTAAACTCAAAAACACTTTCTCAGGTAGAGAGGTAATAGAGTTGGACGACAAATTCCTGTTGAGAGGAAACTTTTATCAATGGAAAATAATATGCACATTAAATGCGC